CTGACTAACTTGGGAGAGCAGCCTCGTTCACCTCCAGTTCTGTACGTAGACAACAAGGCCATGATTGCCTTGTGTCAGGAGCACAGACTGGAGCACAGAACGAAGCACATCGCTCTGCGATACTTCCTTGCTCGAGAGTTGCAGCAGCGTGGCCAGCTTCGTCTTGCGTACGTGGCCACTAGGGCCAACACTGCTGATATATTCACCAAGGCACTTCCGCCTGGTGATCATCAGCGCTTCTCTACTGTGTTAGGCCTTGTGCCTACTTTGCCTCACTTGCTTACTGCGTGATTTTGCTTGTACCGTGATCTATATATATACCTGCATGCTTGCACTTGCTAGGGTATGATCACTGTATTGTTTGTTCTCTTTTATATAACTCTGCATGTGAACTGGCCTTGTGGCCATTTGCTTGTGCTCGGACTGTGTGGTGACTTTGTGATCCACCCTGAGCTTGCTTTGCTTTGCTTGACTGGTCTTGTGACCACTTGTTCTCCCATATTTTGCCTATGGGGGTGTGTCAAAATGTTAAATAGCTTACTTTGTGTAGGCTATAGTGGGGTAGCCCATAAGGGGTACAACCCAATTAGTGTTAGTACTTGTACCCAACTGTTTCATAGTTCATTCATTCTTGATTATTTTTTCTGACAGTTCAACATCTCCCCTGCATCACTCTCCACTTGTTACCGCACTCCCGGACCGAACCACAAACCCGACAACAAAGCCCTATCCCTTGCAGGCCTTCACACTTACCAAAAGTAGTTGGGATGCCTGCTCTTTTACTCTGTGACCTGCAGGCCACATCTCTCCTACATCGCAAGTCAGCTGGCCCAGTACTCGCGCAAACCAATGGCTGAAAATATTTAGATCTTCAGCGCGCCCTGCAATTCTTCATCTCTACGGCCAACATTGGGCTCTTCTACTCCACAAACACAACCCCCTCCTTCAACCTTATCAGCTACGTGGACGCCGATCACGCTGCTCACTCCGACGATCGACGTTCCAAGACCGGGTTCCTGTTCTGCCTCGAACTAACAGGACCCGTCTCCTGGAATTAGCAGAAGCAGGATCTAGTTGCCCTGTCATCGGCGGAAGCAAAGTTCATTGCCACGACAGCAGCAGTTCGCGAGGGGTTTTACCTACAGGAGGCGAAAAATCCTATTTCGCCAACCTTCCGCTTGCACTGCGATAATCAGAGCGCGATCAGTATCACGAAAAAACAGGATTCGTCAACCGCACCAAGCACATCACGCAGCAATACTTCTTCGTCAAGGATGAAGTTGACAAAGGCAAGGTCGACCTGACCTATTGCCTGACGGTGACATTGTTGCAGACTTGCTCACGAAGCGAGTGCCCCGTCAGTAGTACCAGCACTGCTCCGAACTGAGCGGAGTAGTCAAGCGAGTCAAGACTTGCTACAGCCAGGAGTGAAGGGGGGTGTTACGAATAGTAAATTGAGAAATACTGTGCACTCCTATCAGTAGCAGGTGAGAAATGCAGTAAAGAGTACGAAGACGAAAAAGACGGAATGACGTGTAGACTCGCTGAGGGTTATGCAATGGACCGTTGGAGCAGAAGCATCTGGCAGCTGAAGTGGCGAGGATTATGGTGGGAACAGGTTCGTAACCGTTTGGAGTTGCACGGTTGTGCAGAGATTCACTACACAATGGGAGTATACTATGGAGGAAGGCACGGGGTTGTGCGAGTGATCGTAGCGTTCTCACTGCTTGTTGTGTTCACAAGGAGATTTGGCAAGAGTTTCACTAGAAATTGAAAAGAACATTGAGTATAATGAGGCATGCAAGTCGATATAGCTAGAATGGCATTGCAACACCTAGCAAGCCCTCTACAGGGCGAACTCTGCCAGCGCAGCAGAAGAGCGGCTTGCCAACGTTGCTGCAGAGTAGTTCTGCCGGCGTTGCACCGCAGCGGTCTGCCAGCGCCGCCAGGCACATTGCGCAGGTGCCAGGTAGAACACGTGTCGACGGTTTTGCCAGCCGTGCACCGTCGAGCACGTGATGCCGTTCCGCAGGTTGACTTGGCGAAAACATCATGAGGCGAAGTTCGCGCGTTTGTCGAGATGAGTCCGTGGTGCAGAGCCTCTCGACATACTCGCCACGCATAGCCTCTCGACGGACTCGTCGAGGACCGCTGTCGTCGACCAGCGACTTCTGTAGAGGGTGTCGACCAATCCCTTCGAGCAGGACCTGCTCGACCATCACCTCCATTGACCAGCAAAAGCCTACTCGACGACCACTTCGTCGAGTGACTATGCGTCGATGGTAAGATCGGTTGCGCCCAAGCGAGGGCGGGGCCTTTCTCTTCGACATGTTGCATTTCGCTGCAAAGAGAATGTACCCCTTAGAGTACATAGCTAGTCTATCTATGTCATTTTGTATTCCCCTGTACTCTTATGTAAACAAATACATTTGCATGTTTTATCATCTACGTCATTTTTCATTCACTCTGAGTTGAGGTCAATTTCTACCGCTACAACACACTTTTTGCGAACCTTCCTGTTGTGATGCTAGGCTCGATCAACCTTCTGATCGCTACGAAGATGATAGGTAACGGACTGATGAACTATGAAAGGCTGATAATACAAATACTAACCCTTACAGGGTTATACCATAGACAGGCTACTCCACTAAAGCCTACAACTTCTGCACATACACATTTAATTTGGCAAATCCCAACCGAAAATGTTGCTGATGTGAATCAGGGCTTAGCACGCAGGGGGCTGCGGTAAGAACCAAGTTATGAAGGAATAGAAAACGTGCTTTCAGTGAGGTCCGTCTTTCCTGCTAAATTTTGATGATAGGTGCTGAAAGTGAGTGTGCAGATTCAAATGAAGAAGGATAGAATATAAACACCAAGTTATATTTCAATACCCAGTGACCTAATTGGACAACGCACCACATTACAGTAACGAGAAATTGGGATTGCGTGTTTGTGTTGTGCACTGACGAATAGCACAGCAAGTCAATATGCCACGTGCCCAAGATCTGAGGCTAATTTGTGGCCACTTCGGTTGCCATCTCACACTTTCAGCCTCTAATGTACAAGGACGCACGTCATCTTGGAAATTACTAGCCACCTCTCACTCAGTTATTCGCTGCCCCCATCAAAATGGGTGCTCTTGACATATACTCTTTTGGGCAGAAGAGTTTGCGTCATGACCTGATCACATAACATAATTTCCGAAATTGTCTCGAAGATTCGTGAAGTGCAACGTTCTTCCTTTGAATGAGAGGCCTTTCTTTTCAAGAGGCTTGTAGAGCTGTCGGTTCGGTAACGGTTGGCATTTGTTTTTTCGCGTCGGGAACATTCTCTAACGGGAAACTTCATTTTGAATCTGTGCTGAGTTCGGGGGTCCATGCGCGAGAAGGGAAGTGCTCTGCGCTGCGGCACCAAATGTGAGTGTCTGTTCGCGGCGCGATTTTCCAACTGCTCCTCTGCTCTCCCCACCCCAGCCTAACTTCTCTCATGGCAGCACCACCCACCCACCTCACTTCGGCCCTGCTCGACTGGCGCAGAAGGCACAGGCTCGGGTACCGGCTACAGTAAAGCGTGCTCCCTCGAAGCTTCTGAGATAAACGGACAACTGCTGACTCGGGTCTGGGAACAGCTGACTCGGGTCTGGGATAGGCGGATGAGCACCGAAGCGAACTGGTGCAGATGCCAGCCGAACATCCTTGTTGGCCCCAGTTTGGGTACTGAATGTGCGTTCCTGGAACCATCCTCTCCTGGTAACCCGAAGCACCACTGATGCATCCGTGGAGAGCTAGCACCATGGGTGCACCAGCTGATGCGGGGCAGCACCAGCTGATGTGGGGCAGCATAAGGTGCCCGCCAAGTTGAACTTCCCCAAGTTTGACAAACTTGACCCACACAATTGCCCGCTCTCTAAAAGTCGAACACCCACCGTGTTTGACAAACTTGACAGACCACTAGGACCAATTTGACAAACCCCAAACCACTTCCTCTCGTTCGAGCACCACACCCGAACCAAAGCACCACCAACGAACCTGTGCTGGTACCCGAGCCTAAACCCTGATGCGCCTTGGGACTAGAGCAACAAATGCATTGCAGCATTTGGGGTTCATGCATATGTGCGCATTTCAAACAAGACGCAAGTTGTCAGCAGTTGTCATAACCTTTCCCTTCAATTTCAGGCCAGACACCACATCTAGTTCTGCCAGAAGGGCGCTTTACCAACGAAGACGTGTCTTAATTGTGTTGGGAGGCTGAGACTCCCCTTGACCCTTCATCTTCCATACGGTGGAATGACCTTTTCGACTCCATTCTAATTGGTTGGGAGCAGCAGAGTGGAAGTTCAAGCAGCATCCAGCTGATTTCCGTGGCGACGCAGAAAATCGGAACCTCAAATCCAGAGTCCCACATTTCGCTTTCCGCACGCTTCCACCTCTCCCATATGACACGTCACGCGAGTCAAGTCCCGAAAGTAGTCCCACCCACCCAACGCAACGTGTGGTGTGGTGTGGACCCAGAGAACATCTCGCTCATCTCGTAGTTTCGAGACCGCGCTTTCTACCTTCGGCCAGTCATACTGTACCGTGCTCTCAGCTATATTCGTCATTCATCCGCCGTTCTATCCACAGGTGCGAGTATATTGTCGCTTCATTCCTCCTACCTATCCGCGATCTTCGAAGTTCAGTGGACCGACGTTCACAACCGTTCTGCCAGCAGTGCTGCTCTTTCATCACCACAACTATCCCCAAAGCTCCTCTGTTCACCCTATTACGCCTCTGCCTCAATCACTGCCATACTTCAACAGAATTTAGGAGGCCCGAGCCTGCCGGACGGACATATCAGGCGCCATGCCGAGCCTGATCAGCATTCTCTCTTCCCAGAGCTCCTCTCGCTTCGCCCACGCCCTCAGCAAGGAGTCTCGCGTGGCGACCGCCGAAAATGCGTCCATCAAGGTTCCCGCGAATCTAGGCCTTTTATTTGGCCCAGCGGCTCCTAGCGCTTTCCATATGCCCGCTCCGTCGCCCTTTCAGCAACACGTTTCTTCTTTCCCGCAGCAATTACAGCACCAGCTTTACCAACTGCCGCTCATGCCGGTCGCGCAGCAGTCGATCCCGCGCGGGATCGATTCGCACGGCATTTCCGCAAATCCCGCCGACCGTTGCGGGCTGCATCTGATTCGCGGCGACGCGTTCGACCTCCGGACGCAAGACCCGTCGACCACGGCCGTAGTATCGCCCGCTGACGTGGCTGGTGACGTGTCGATTTCATCCTCGATTCGCCTAGCGGATCTGATATCCGACTATCTTGAAGATTGCGATGAGGATGGCGACGCGCTCGACGGCTTGACGACTCTGAGAACAGAGCGCAGCGCGCAGGCGCAGTTCCACGAATCCCGCGCAGGAACAGCAACCTTTCTGCCCGCCACGAACCCCGCGCGCTCGAACCTGGGATCGCAGGGCGAGGAGGCGAATCAACGTCTGTCAGCAGATTATCTGGACATGCAGATGCAACTGACGGAGCAGAGTCAACTTCGCATGGTTCAGGTACGACACCCAAAACCTTGAACCCGAAACCCTCATCAGCCGTCGGTGCTCGTCTGTGTCCTTTATCCGCGCTATAAGCATGTGCGCGGCCCGCCTATAAGAGCCCCGGATTTCGTGTTTTAACATTTCTTTCTTTCCCTCTTCCTCCGCGCCGCGTGTCTCCTCCAGTCGCTCGCAGCCATGGATGGCCCCGTCGAAAGCGCCCTCTACGCTGACGTCATCGCAGCGATGACCGACGCGCGCACGTGCCACGTGAACGACCTGCGCGGGAGCAGCCTGAACGCGGCGGTCGCAGGGCGACTGCGTGCGATGGGGTACGACGCGGCGGTGTGCACGACGCAGTGGGACACCTCGCCCACCATGCCCGAGGGTGAGTGTCGTACGTGAGTGTCATGGGGTATCCCCGGCTCCGAAAATTTGTAGGGGTTTTTGAGAATTCTCGAGACTCGATTCCCGTGTGCGCCTCACTCTTCCGCACCTTTCTTCCTCACTTTTCGCTTCATAAGAATGCCTAATCTCTCGCGCCAGCTTACCGGAATATTAAGAATACCTATGTTGATTATTAAACATCGCCACCCCTCTCTTGTCTGGCTGTCGCCCTGCAGGGTCGTACGAGTACATAGACGTCCTCGTCTCCGCGGATCCTCTCGCGCGCCCGCCCGCATCGGCCTCCCCCTGTTCCACCCTCGTCAGTTCTACCTCCCCCGCTCCAGCCTCCCCCTCGCCCACCTTCAACAGAACCACCTCCCCTCGCTCTTCCCTTCCCCCTTGCGCCGCCGCCTCCGTTTCCGCCGACGGCGCTTCCCCCTCCTCCGCTTCTGCCATCCCCCAGCGCTTCATCGTCGACCTTGACTTCCGCGCACAGTTCCAGATCGCACGGCCCACGCGCGAGTACGCGTCCGCGCTCGAATCCACGCCGTTGATCTTCATGGGGCGGCAGGAGCGGCTGGTGCGGCTGGTGGAGGTGGTATCTAGCGCGATGAGGGGGGCTTTAAGGGCGCAGGGCATGCACATTCCGCCGTGGCGCAAGGGCGAGTATCTTCACGCCAAGTGGATGGCTGCGGTTACCCAGAGAGTCGTGTGCGAGGCGAAGGGGATGGCGAATGGGATGGGGGGTGAGGGGGGAAAGAGCACGGGAGTAGTGGGCAAGGGGAATGTGGGCGAGGGGATGGAGAGGGGGGCAGCAGTGGTGGGGGATAAGGATACAACTACAGTTGTTGGTAGTTGCAATGGTGGCTATGGTGGCAAGGAGTCTCAGACTACAACCCTCTTTACTGTCACTGCTGCTTCTAGCACCGCTGACACCGCCATCGCTGTGATGGCTGCTCCTGCTGTCGGCCCCTTATCAGCTTGTGCCTCCCCGCCGGCACCCACTGCTGCTCCAGCTGGAAGCTTCTACGCAACTTCTGCCCCTGGCATCGCAGGTGCTGCCGGGGCGGCTCATGCTCTGCGCCAGCAGGCGCAAGAGGCCCGTTTTACCAACGTCATGGGGGATGCAGTTCTCTTCCAAGGCCGCTGTGTTCCCACGAGGCGCTTTGCTGCGCTCCACCAGTGTGCGCGAGCAGGGGGGCGGTGACGCCCCAGGCAAGCAGGCATGCATGCCCCATCCCATCCCCACCAGCAGCAGGCATGGGGCTGCCTTCCTTCCCGGGCTGCACAGCCCGGGAACTTTTAGCTGCATGCTTCCACCAGTGTGTGCCTTGGATGGTTGAGCTTCGACAGTTTTCATTGCCAGGAGCGGCTCATACCTTCCCGATTCTTTTGGTGCCCCAGTTTGGGGTTGCAGTGGATAGGAGAGTGGGACACACCATGTTGGCATGCTGCAATTTTGACATTGAACCAACCAGCCTGATGCATTTCCATTCCAGGCTGCTGCAATTTTGTCTCCAGCTTCTGGTTTGCCCACCAGAGCTGCCAATTTTGACCCTAGTTTTGTTTGGAGCATAAATTACCATATACCAATACTGAATAGTTTTGCCTTATACCGTATTCCCCCGGATCAAAGACCCTAGGGGCTCTTATTAATTTCACAAAAAAAGGGGGGGGGGTCCTATTATAGACTAAAAATTCGATAAGACCTGGGTCTTATTGTAAGTGCTATGTTTTTTAAAATATAATGAAATGCAAGGGTGTTCTAATGTTGGGCTGAAAAATGCCCTTAGGATCTTTGCAGGACAGAATTCAAGGGTAGGATGATGTGGTAGCGGAAGCGTTTTAATAAAGGATTGTGAACTACCTTGTGCTTGTATGTGAGGGCAAAGTAAGTTGATAATAACAAAGAGATACATGTCTTTTATAAGAATACAGGGAATATGAAAGGATACGATTAATAACTGTTTTACTCTTGCTGTAGCGGTTCGATACAGTGTCGACTCGGGCAACTGCTCAGTATCGAGACAGTTGTTTGTCCTTGCTGTCGCGCTGCATTTGTCAGGTCAAAGGTCGTTGGCCTTTGACTTTCGCGTAACCTTCAACGGTTATTCAACCTCCGAGGGTTGACTCACCGATGTTTCGATACGATCTGTTTCGTTTCTGTCTTGGTGTTTCGACACGACAGAGGCGCTTAAATCAGTTGTTTCCAACACTCCCCTTCGCTTCTGGAGTGTCGTCGCTGGTGACGTGGCTCTGACCAGTCAGCAGCATGCAATATTCGAACTTCGACTTTCCGAGCTTCTTGGTCAAGTAATCAGCTGCCATCTCGGATGTGGGGCAGTAAGACAGCTCAAGTCTTCCCTTCTCGATCTCGTCCTTTACGAAGAAGTATCGCAGGGCGATATGTTTCGTCCTGTTCGCGAATCCATTTTTGTTGGCGATGCGAATTGCCGATTGGTTGTCGCAAAATAGGGAGAAGCTGGGTAACTGTGAGAAGAAACGAGGGATGATCAAGTTTAACTAGGGCCTAGGCTTAGGAGCCTAGGCCCCAACTAGGATGTCGAGTAGTTTGTGCCTAGGGTGAGAGTCGAGAAAGTTGGAAAGGATGGTTTCACTATAGGTTTCGAAGAACATATAGCAAAGGAAACAAATAAGGTGCACCACCAAACAAAGTTTATAATAACTACACTAACTACAGCTACAGGCAGTTACAAATATAAGTTCTGACACTCCCCCATAACTGCCTGCATCAGGAGTTTGTGCAGAATACAACCTGCAGGGGTACACATGCAAAATAATAAACAAGCAACAGCAGGTACTGCAGGCGGGCTAACACTAGCTGGTCACCCCCTCCATCTCCTCACCCTCCTCCTTCCCTTCCCCCACACTGCTGCAGGAGCAGCAGAGAGGGGGGGGAAGAGAGGAGAGGTGGAGGGACGGCTGCTGGTTGCCTCACACCCGCCACCCCGGTGCCACTCCCCCGTCTCCCCCACACCCTCACACCCTCCCCCCCAGCGGCAGCTGCAGCAGTGGGAACGAAAGGAGGAGGAGGGGAAGGGAAGGATACGACCCAACGCTCCAACACCCGCCACCCCCATACCCTCCCCCCCACGGCTGCAGGGAGACAAAGGAGGAGGGGGTGGGCGGGAAGAAAGCCGCAGAGCGACTACAATGTGTCGGCGCAGGTAGGTCAGGGGCGGCTGCAGTGAGAGCAGGTGCGGAGAGGCGCGTCGCGTGCCACGGGGCGCACGACAGGTAAGTTTAAGGTAAGGGCACCGTCGTGTGCCTCGGGGCGCACGACGAGCAGGGCACCGTCGCGTGCCACCGGGCGCACGACGGGCAGGTTTAGGGCACCGTCGCGTGCCACGGGGCGCGCGACGGGCAGAGTAGGAGTCACTCGCCAACCGGGGGCGGGACAATAGAAAATCGCCACGCGCCCTAGGCGCGCGACCGGAAAAACGTAGCAGCGGAAGCATGAGGCGGGCCCACAGGCCAGGACGTAACTCGCTCTGATAGCATGAGAAGAAACGAGGGATGATCAAGTTTAACTAGGGCCTAGGCTTAGGAGCCTAGGCCCCAACTAGGATGTCGAGTAGTTTGTGCCTAGGGTGAGAGTCGAGAAAGTTGGAAAGGATGGTTTCACTATAGGTTTCGAAGAACATATAGCAAAGGAAACAAATAAGGTGCACCACCAAACAAAGTTTATAATAACTACACTAACTACAGCTACAGGCAGTTACAAATATAAGTTCTGACAAACTAGGCCAGCTTCGCTTCCTCCAGCAGTTCGCGAAGGTACAGTCCTTCCTTGGTGGCTGAGCAGAGTGCGATGTATTCAGCTTCAGCTGAGGAGAGGGCGATTAATTCCTGTTTGCTCGACTGCCACGAAATAGGTCCGATAGGCTCGAGACGGTAGATATAGCCTGTACGCGAGCGCCTGTTGTCAGAATCTCCGGCGTGGTCGGCGTCGACGTAGCCGATTAGGTTGGGCGTTGTAGTTGCGTTTTTGTAGTAGATTAGGCCGATCGTCGGAGTGCTTACGAGGTAGTTTAGGGCGCGATCGAGCTCCTTCATGTGTTCGTCTTCAGGCCTTTTGAGGTAGGTGGCGAGTTGGCTTGCTGAGTATGATAGGTCTGGACGGCAGGTGACGGCCGCGAAGAGAAGGCATCCTAGTTTTCTTTGGTAGTTGCGTATGCCGGCGGGTTTCAGTGGAGCGGATTCTGTCTTGTCATTTCCTGCCGTGTAGCGGTATGGCGTAGAGATGGTAGTTGGCGTGAGTGCGAACCGTTTGCCGATGGTGTCGGCATATTTTGCGGCGTTGAGATAGATCGCTCCTTCTTCTTCTTGGATATTGAGGCCGAGGTACTGCGTGACGGTAGATGAGACTGTGAGCGTAAGATCTCTCTGTAGCTCCCCTTCGAACCAGGTAGTGACTTTGTCGGTTGATCCGATGTAAAGCAGATCGTCAATGTAGACGATTAGTAGAATGTAGTCGTCGTCTTTCGTAAGCCGGTACATCCCTTGGTCGTGCGGTAGCTGCCGGAATCCAATGCGGGTGAGTCGAGCGTGTAAGTACTGCTGCCACAGTCTCGGTGCCTGTTTGATCCCGTACAGAGATTTTTGCAGTTGACAAACTTGATTGGACTCTCCGTGAGAACCATGTGGGAGTTCGACGTAGATTTCTGCGTCGACAGGTGCGTAGAGAAAAGCATTGGCGACGTCGATTTTCCGCGATTTCTTCTTTTTTCATAGCGGCGACCGCGAGAAGAATCCGTAGTGAAGTATGTCGGCTGACCGGAGCGAATGTCTCGGTGAAATCGCGTCCGTGTTCTTGGTCGAAGCCGCGTACGACCCAGCGTGCCTTGAACTTGTCGATGGTGCCATCTGCTTTTGTCTTCACACGGAAGACCCACTTCCCGGTGAGTATCGTTTTGTTTCGTGCCACGCCGATAGGAACAACCTTCCAGGTGTTGCGCTCCTGTAGTGCTTTCAATTCCTTGTCCATGGCTTCACGCCATTTTTCCTTATGCTCCCCCCCCAGAGCGTGCTGAACTGTGGCAGGCTCCTTAGGAGTATCGGTGCCGTGGACCGCGGTGACGAGACCAAGTATCTGAAGACCACTCTGTGTGTAGCGGGGGAGTGTTGTGTCCTCGGGATAAGCTGCTTCGTCACCTGCTTCTGGGTCAGGTGTGAAATTGGGCCCTACGCGTTCTGCTTCGTTGGTGTTGACTTCTGCAGGTGTAACGTAACCAGTGTCGGCGAGGTCGAAATATGTTTCGGCGTTGACGCTTTCGCGAGGATTTTCGTCATCCATCGGGATGGGCACGGAGCAGTAGGGGAGTGGTCCTGCTTCATCCGAGGCGTTATCCACGTTCTGCTCGTCCCAGTCAGCTTCGTCTGCTGCCGAGGCGAAGTGTCGGTCACCACGGAAGCCACCTGTGGGATCCCGATTTCCTTCCAGGTTGGCAAGATATGTCGGAAGGGTGAGCCGTTCGTAGAAAAGGACGTCACGTGCTGCTACTGTTTCTTTGGAGTGGACGTCGAAAATCTTCCACGCGTTGTAATTCCTTTCGATGCCCAGGTGTAATCCCCACTGTGCGCGTTGGGAAAATCGGCCGGCTCGTGCAGATGGGGGTCGGTACTGTACCATGCAGCCGAAAACTCTTAACATTTTTGTGCTGCCCTGTTTTCCTGTCCACAGCAGGTGCGGTGATGCGTTGTTCGGTAGTGACGATGACGAAAGCAAGTTGTGCAGCATGACAGCGTGGTCCATTGCTTCAGGCCACTGGTGATTGGGCAGTCGCATGCCACGCAGTAATTTGCGCATGGTGTTCTGGAGAGTTCGATTCATTCGTTCCGCCAAGCCTTGCTGTTGATGGGCGTAAGGAAGCGAGATGAGCCTCTTGATTCCCTTTTCTGCCAAGAACTGATTGAACCTCTGTGAGGTGTATTCTCCTCCTCCGTCTGACTGAAAGCTTTTCAGTTTCTCGCCGGATTCTCGTTCTGCTACTGGGAGCCAGGCAATGAAGGCTTCGAAGGCCATGTCCTTGCTCGGAAGATTGAGATGCCAAACGTAACGAGTAGCTGCATCGATGAACGTGATTGTATAACTGTATGCTCCTTGTCCAGGTTTGCGGTTGTACAAGATGTCGCTGTACACTTTCTCAAGTGGTGCGTAAGCTGGTGCGCTGGGGTTGTGGTGAGAAGTAAATGGCCGATGTGGTAAGTCAGCTTCGGGGCAGGTAAAACACGTTCCTTGCGCTCGTCGAAGTTCACTTCCGTCCGTTAGGAGTAGTGAATCCTTGTCGAGTACACCGGCTCGGATTGTATTGTTTAACACCGTGTTGCTTGGGTGTCCCATTCGTGCGTGCCAGATGTCTTCACTGGCGCGATGTCCGGGTGAACGACGATACAGGTCGGAGTTGGAGTAAAAGGCGGCGGTGAAATTGGCGCTTCTGTGAACTTCGCGAGGAGTGGGAGTTAGCTGTTGCGCGGGAGTCGGTGAAGTGTCGTCGATTTGAGGTGATGCAGTTGAAGGACCAGCAATTGGTGTTAACGTTGCTGCTGCTGCTACCGTTGTTTCTGTTGCTGCCGATGTTGTTTCTGCTGCTGTCGATGTTGTTTCTGCTGCTGCCGAGTGTTGAATTGTTGCTAATGCTCTTGTGCGTTCTGCCTCAGGGATGGTGTGCGAGTACCAGAAGCCTTCTGGACTGAAGTCGGGGTCAAGATCCGGTGGATGTGTCCAAGAGGTGAAGGTGACAATCCCGTCGCTGTCGGCAGTGCCAAGATCTGGGACAAAGTCGAGGACGAATACATTGTTTTTCAAGACTGCCTTTCCGATGTAGAGACCACCTTTGCCGTGGTATAACTTAAACTCCTGGGTGGTGCTGTCGGCCTCGAGGTGTATGCCCTTCGCCATCAGCTGACTGACACTCAGTAAGTTGTAGCCGAGTCCTTCTGCTATTAAAACCTTTGACATCTGCAGTATGACATTTGTTTCTCGTGACTGAAGTTGTACTACGCCTTGTCGTCGTGTGCGCAGGTTCTGGTTGTTGGCGACGGTGATGACAACTTCGCGTTGAAGTTGGTGTTCACGTTGAACAAAACGTCCTGAGGGACACATATGCTGTCCACAGCAACTGTCCAAGAACCACGTATCTTTCCCAAATGGCTCGTTTTGAGCGATGGCTGCATAGGTCGGATTTGGTTGAAGCGACTCGCGGCGAGACGTGCTGTTGTCAAGATGCTCTTCCGGTGAGTAAGATGGTGGTGATTCTGTGATGCAGGAATCGGTTAACCGTGTCATACAACTGACGATGTTTCTTGTTTCTTGCGCAGGTTGTCCCGTCGATGTTGTTGAGACTTGTACTTGAGATGTTGGATTTGCTTGCGTTGAGGCAACTTGACTGCTTGAAGGCCGAAGCTGCCGCTGCGTCGGTTCTGACTGTTGTCGGTTAGGACAGTGTGTGCGAGGATGTCCTGATGTCTTGCAGAGGTGACAGAATGGAGGTACTAGTTTCGGTTGATGCTGATAGTTGTTGTTGTTGAAACGCCGTTGAGTGTGGAATGCGAATTCGGGTACTGATGCTTTTTTGTTGTGTCGTTCTTCTTGCAGGTCCATATCTTGCTGTTCAGCGTGGATCTCGGCGCAGAGTGCTGCTTCTGATATCTTTCCATGCGCCCGGAGTATGGCGCGGGTGGAGCGCCACTGAGGACCGAGGCCGCCGATGATGACTGTGACGAAGGCGTCTTCTGAAATCGACCCTCCGCATCGAAGAAGTTTGTCGCGCAATTCGCGACAGCGGCTGATATACGCCATCCCCTTTTTGCCTGGTTTCATTTCGACTGTCGTTAGTTGCGCCATTAACCGACTTTGGTTTACACTGTCTGTTGCTTGATACAGGTTCTTCAGGTGGTTGTACGCGAGCCCTGCAGAGTTGCCGTAACCCCGGTAAGACCGTATGTTCTGCTGCTGACTTGGAGTGATATTTCTCAGCAGTATTGTGTACGCCATCATTGACTGATAAGTGTACTGCTGCTTGTCGTACTGTGTGCCGTGTGTTGGATATGGCAGGGACCCGTCGAAGAAGCCAAGAATCTGCGCGCCTTCCATCATTAACTCGAACTCGAATGACCAGGTAAAGAAATCGTTTCCGTCGAAAGGCCTTGTTGTCTGCAGTTTTAAGACGTGCGCGAACTGTGATTGAACTTGAAGTGCATCCAATGTCTTTTCTTGTCCGGATGCAGGCTGCGGTTGTGGCATAAAGCTGACGGAGCCACGCTGGGGCTCGTACGGAGCAAAGGTAGGCCGTTGCTGTTGATTTTCGCGTGCGTACGATGAACCATCTAGGCTCATTGGTGTTGCGTTGTTGTTGTTGCTGTTGTTTGACTGTGCAGGTGCCCCTTGCTGGTGCTGTTCGTAGAAGGACATGAAGGAGAAGAATTTCTCCATCATATCTGGATCGAAGGCCGCAGTTTGATTTGCTGGAGTTTCCGAAGACGAAGCCCTTGGTCTTGTTGCCGTACCCTCCTCTGTCTGTAGACCAGAGGCAGGAGGTGGAGTAGGAGTATTGCCGGGAGAGTCGTTAGAGGAGCTTCTCTCCTTCTGTGTTGCCATGTCTTTCGATGTTGTAGATATCTTGTTTGTAGTTGAATTTGCCCTGACTGCTCTCATACCATGTTGGGCTGAAAAATGCCCTTAGGATCTTTGCAGGACAGAATTCAAGGGTAGGATGATGTGGTAGCGGAAGCGTTTTAATAAAGGATTGTGAACTATCTTGCGCTTGTATGTGAGGGCAAAGTAAGTTGATAGTAACAAAGAGATACATGTCTTTTATAAGAATACAGGGAATATGAAAGGATACGATTAATAAATGTTTTACTGTTGCTGTTGCGGTTCGATACAGTGTCGACTCGGGCAACTGCTCAGTATCGAGACAGTTGTTTGTCCTTGCTGTCGCGCTGCATTTGTCAGGTCAAAGGTCGCTGACCTTTGACTTTCGCGTAACCTTCAACGGTTATTCAACCTCCGAGGGTTGACTCACCGATGTTTCGATACGATCTATTTCGTTTCTGTCTTGGTATTTCGACACGACAGAGGCGCTTAAATCAGTTGTTTCCAACATCTAATGCATATTTGTGTTTTTTTAACGAGGAAACACCCCGCGAATGTCTGAAGCCGAGAAACCGGGCACAATCCATGAAGCATCTGAATGCGTCATGCTCATTGGCCCACATTCAATGGTAACCAGCATTACAGATTGGGGGCCGACCAACGTGTACCACGTCCAATGCTTTGTGTCAGACCGCCTCGGACGTCTCATCCCTTGCATGGCACGTGAGGCTCTCAGCACAGAGTCGCGCTATCTCTATCACGTCTCGTACACAAGCGAATTTGACACCGCCAGGGAACGGACCCACCTCTGTGCAATGATGAGTGGGTGGCGGGTGACGAAGATGAGTAGCAAGGCGAAGGCGGATTCCAAGGTGGTGGGTGAAGAGTGGAGCTAGCTGGGTGTTGAGAGGCTGCCTTGATCGTATTTTGTGACTCCTGTGGCCTACCATGTGCCACTGCTTGCTTAATTGACATGAATTAACATCTAAAAAACAGTTTTGAGGTGTTGGGCTGAGAAAAGCCCTTAGGAACTTTTCAGGACTAAGATCGGGTGTTGATGTAGAGTTGTAACAGCGGAAGTCTTTAATGAAGAGTTGACGTGAACCACCTTGTGCTGGTTTGTGAGAACAAGATAAGTTAATGATAGCAAAGGGATACAGGCCTTTTATACGATTACAAGGAATATAAAGAGTTATATTTTAACTGTTTTGCTGTTGCGGTTCGATACAGTGCCGACTCGGGTAACTGCTCTGTAACGAGTCAGTTATGTGTCCTTGCTGTCGCACTGTGCATTTCGTCAGGTCAAAGGTCGGAGACCTTTGACCTTCGCGTAACCTCCGACAGTTGACTCGCGTGCTTCTTCGCTGTAGTCAGTTCCGTTTTGTGTCGCAGCTTCGATACGACAGAGGCGCTATAAATCACTTGTTTCCAACATGAGGTTGGGGGGGGGTCTTATAATGATTTCACCCCAAATGGGGGGTATAAGGAAAACAGTCTTGAATAATATACCCCCCCCCGTATTTAAGACCCGGGAACATTATTATGGGGGGGTCTTTTATCCGGGGGATTACGGTACAAGTTTTGGATACAAATACCAGAGCGGATTTTGAGCTCAGGGATGATGCCATGACAGGTGCAGCTAGAGAGGGAGCCACACTGCTACCAGCTCCTATTGCAGACATGTCTAGGCCTCGTGCTGTTGCTTTGCTCCAGCCGTTCCAACTTCCTAACCAACCCTTGAAGGAAAGGGAGCAGCAGCATGAAGTGGCTCTTGGTCGAGTGGTCGTAACATAAGGTACCTTGCTACTAGCAATTGCAACAGCGACATCAAGCCGCTGCAGTTACGTGTAGCGAGGTTGTTTTTGAGATGTCTCAAAACTAGACTTCTCAAAAATGCTACTAGCAATTGCTGCAACAGCGACAGAAAGCCGCTGCAGTTGCAACAGCAATGGCGGTGGCGGTGGCGACAGCAGCAGCAGCCACAGCAGCAGCAGTGACAGCAGTAGTAGCAGCAGCAGCGGCAGCAGCTGCAACGAGAACAGCCATCCTAGGTAGTAGCATGAAGCAGTAGAGCGAGTGGTGCAAACCATGAGCCAAAGACACGCACTCTTCTCCGTCATTGAGCAATATCAAGAATACTGCTTTGCGTTACGATACAGTTCATAATTTCTCACTCATGTGGTGGCTAGATTGATTAGAATCCTACATGTGAAAAGAGAGGATCATACAGCCCTAGACTACAGCCTAAGCTTAAGCTCACTTGTGCGCTGTGCTTCCAAAGGCATCACCAAACCCACTTGAACTGCCGCCAGCAGCTGTGCCAAACCCCACAGAGCCACCCCCGAAACCACCACCACCTGCCCCAAAAGCACCAGTGCCTGCCCCAAAACCACCAGCGCCTGCCCCAAAACCACCAGTGCCTGCCCCAAAACCACCAGTGCCTGCCCCAAAACCACCAGCGCCAGCCCCAATCCCACTGCCGCCTGCTCCAAAACCACCACTGCCTGCCCCAAATCCTCCTGTAAAACCACCTCCTGTGGTTGCTCCAAATCCACCAAACCCTGTTCCTTGTCCCCCTCCCCCATTTCCCCCTTCAGTTTTTCCTGCACCTCCCCCAAAACCCCCACTTCCAGCATCCCCACTTCTCGACCCAAACCCTCCTGCACTCGACCCAAGCCCCACAGCACCAGCAGCACCAGCGCCACCAGCACCAGCAGCACCACCAGCCTTCCCACCACCATCTGCTTCTGTGTTCTTCTCACCATCACCTCTTACACCAAAAGTGCTGCCCGCCCCACCAAAAGTGCTGCCCGGCCCACCAAAAGTGCTGCCCGCCCCACCAAAAGTGCTGCCTGCCCCACCAAAAGTGCTGCCCGCCCCACCAAAAGTGCTGCCCACCCCACCAAAAGTGCTGCCCGCCCCACCAAAAGTGCTGCCTGCCCCACCAAAAGTGCTGCCCGCCCCACCAAACAGAGGGGCGGCAGAGGGAGCAGCAGGTGGAGCAGCAGAGGGGGCAGCAGCAGGTGGGGAAGCATGAGGCGATCCAAAACCCGCTCCCAGCCTGCCAAACACACTCCCCCCCGTTGCCGCTCCCGCGCCTGCAGCCTCTGCTGTCACCGATGCTGCTGCTGCTGCTCCTCCTCCACCTCCGCCTGCCAGTGTGACTGAAGCTGCTCCTGTGTGTGCCAACTTAGCTCCAAAACCTGGTGCTGATCCTATAGGTGCTGACCCGAAAGCTGGTGCTGCGCCAAATGCTGCTGTTTGCAGCCTGCCTCCTGCTCCTGCTGCCCCTGCTGCTGACTCCCCTCCTCCCCCTGCCCCTGACCCCAATGCCTGTGATCCTTTACGAGCCCCCCCTGCTCCTCCAGTTGCCACCTGCCTGTAGTCCTCCCCATCCAGATCTACCTGCCCCAGATACGCCCTCACTGCCGCCTCCACCTCCCCCTGCATCGCACACACCACCTCATACTCACCCTCACCCACACTCACCCCTGCTCTACCACCCCCACCCCCTCTGCCACTCGCCCCCTTCCCCCTCTCCCCCTCCTCGGCCACAGCAGCAGCGGCTGCCAGCTGTAGCCTCAGCCGGTCCAGCAGGGCGTGCGGCTGCCATGTGGCGCCCATCCGTTGCTTCGCCGTGCGGGGATCGGCCGATCGGACGGCTCTCCATGCACGGAGCATGGCGAGGGCCAATCGGGACGCTTGGATGAGATGATTGAAGTCCAGGTAGACTCGAAGGAGTGATGAGGGGTCCGGAGCGATGGGAGGGGCGATAGATGGGTTGAAAGGAGTGGAGAGCGGTGCGAGGAAGGAGGGTGATGAGAGAGAGGAGGGGGCGAAGGCGAAGGGAAGGAGGTTTGAGGAGGGGGGGAGTGAGGAGAGGGAGGAGGAACCTTCCAGGAAAAGACGGATGAGCCATGGAGGTAAGGGGAGAGCAGGGTTGGTGCCGAGTATGGCTCGGGCTACAACCTCACGGAGGTTCGGATGGTGCCGAACGTACGTCTCGGTCCAAACCTGCATCTGCTGCCACATCAGCGCTGGAGAGCTTGCCACATCAGCAGCAGCAGTAGCACTGGCATGGGCTGACGTGGCAGCAGGGGCAGGAGAAGAGATGCTGTTTAGATCCCGGGCAGCAGGAGACAGCCCGAGCTGAACCATGCAGCAGCGGCGGGCAGCTGCTGAAAGAATCGCGGAGAGTTCAGCTGCCCGCTGGCTGCCCGAGAAAAAGAGTGTGGCGAGGTGGAGAGCTTGGGGGAAGATGGCGTTGTGAGCACAGGCTGATATGATGTGCTGTGGTGAGGCGTCTGATGCTGGTGGGGGGGAGGAAGGGGAAGCGAGGACAAAGGGAAGCAGGGGCATATGATAGAAAGCACGTGTGGGAGGGAAGAGGGCGCTGTAAGCGCCGGCTGACATGATGTGGTGCGGTGGGGCGGCTGGCGTGCGGTGGGGCGTCTGGCGCAGGTACGGGGGGGTGCAGACAAGGGGTAAAGGGGAGGACAGGGAGGGGGAGGGTGGGGGTGCAAGGAGGGGAAGAGAGGGCTGTGCGTCTAAGCGCATTAGACGTGCAGGGCGTGTGGGAAGAGCGCGTGCGTTGTGAGTCCAGGAGGATGGGATGTGGTCTGGTGGGTCATACCGTGATACACTGGGTTTGAGACGTCTCAAAACTACTTCCTACGTACAAACCGTGATACACTGGGTTTGAGACGTCTCAAAACTACTTCCTACGTACAAACCGTGATACACTGGGTTTGAGACGTCTCAAAACTACTTCCTACGTACAAACCGTGATACACTGGGTTTGAGACGTCTCAAAACTACTTCCTACGTACAAACCGTGATACACTGGGTTTGAGACGTCTCAAAACTACTTCCTACGTACAAACCGTGATACACTGGGTTTGAGACGTCTCAAAACTACTTCCTACGTACAAACCGTGATACACTGGGTTTGAGACGTCTCAAAACTACTTCCTACGTACAAACCGTGATACACTGGGTTTGAGACGTCTCAAAACTACTTCCTACGTACAAACCGTGATACACTGGGTTTGAGACGTCTCAAAACTACTTCCTACGTACAAACCGTGATACACTGGGTTTGAGACGTCTCAAAACTACTTCCTACGTACAAACCGTGATACACTGGGTTTGAGACGTCTCAAAACTACTTCCTACGTACAAACCGTGATACACTGGGTTTGAGACGTCTCAAAACTACTTCCTACGTACAAACCGTGATACACTGGGTTTGAGACGTCTCAAAACTACTTCCTACGTACAAACCGTGATACACGGTGCAAACGCTGCACATTGTACTTGCTGTCTTCGCCTCCTGTTTTCGCAATGCTCTCTTACCTGGCAGTAGCAAGGTGACTTTTGAGTCGACTCAAAACTCTCGCCCAGCACTACAGGGTAAGATTGCTGGGCTGGCCTGCCATAGGTGCAAGACCGGTGTCTCCCTGACTTTTAGAAAGTGGTTTTTTGAGACGTCTCAAAAATTCACTTTCTACACATGGCTTCTCTTGCCCAGCGCTACAGGGTAAGGCTGCTGGGCTGGGTTGCCATCAGGACATGAGCGGTGTCTCCCTTCTCCCTGACTTTTGAGGCGACCCAAAACTCACCTCCTTTTCGCAATGCATTCTTACCCAGCAGCGCTGCAGTGGTCCCAGGACACGTGGCGAGCAGGGATTGAGCGGCCACCAGCGCATGCTCCCTCTGCAGATCCTCCAGCCCCACCGGCTCCGTGCCGCGGCCCAATGATGTGCCGCCACCTGTCTCTCCTCCCCACCTCCCCCTTTTGGCTGGACTCGCCTCTCTCCAGTACCCCCACTCCCCTCGCTTCCGCCCACTCTCCCCCATCCACCCACCCTCCCTCAACCCTCCTCTTCCACCACCGCCAACACCACCACCGCTGGCACCATCACCATCACCACCAACACCATCAGCATCAGCAGCAGCGCCCCTAAGAGGGAAAACTGAGACCATGGGTGGAAGCCATGCCTCCTGCCTCTCCCCCTCCTCCTCCTCTCCCCATCCCCCCTCCCTCCCCACCCCGCCCCTTCCCCCCTCCACACCCACACTCTCACCCCCCCTTCCCACATCCTTCATCTTTCCTCCTCCCCTCAACCCCTCTCCTCCACCTCCCCGCCCCTCCCCTCCCACCACCATCAGCTCCAACGCCTGGATTGCCACCGCCAGGCTCACCTCTCTCAACCGCACTGCACTCAGCTTCACCTCGGGGATTCTCTCTGCACCCAGCGTCATCCCCGGGCTTCCCTTCCCCACCGGACTAAACACCCTCCCGGGACTAGGCTGGTGGTAACCAGGACTGAGTCTCTGCTTCCTCCTCCTATCCGCACTCCCAGCCGAGGCAGCAGAAGCAGCAGGGGTGGGCGTGGGTGCAGTGCGGTTGCTGTTGCTGCTACTCGTGCCCAGAACTTCCCTACCTAGGCGCCATGCGTATCGGTACATGGACAGTGCTGCTTTCCTCCAATCAGATCGCGCCACGTGGAACGAGTACAGCAGCTTGTACGGGCTCACCCTGCCCAGCGCCGCTGACGTGGACAGCGGCAGCGACAGCGCCACGTCAGAGTTCTCAGCGAGCCACATCAGCTCCTGCTGCACCTGTACGTGCAGGTCAGCAGCAGCATAGGGGAGGCTACGGTCACACAGGGTAGACAACGCCCTCCCTGCCCTCTCTGCCTCAGCCGCTGCAGCTGCTTCCGCTGCAGCCGATGCTGCTGATGCTGCTGTTTGCACTGCAGCGGTTCTACCGGCGGCTGTGCCGGCTGTAACGCCTGTAGCAGCTATAGCGGCGGCTACAGCGGAGCTGGCCATGTCACAGAGCACAGCAACAAACTGGCGAAGGCAGATGCTGCGGGTGAGCGGGTCGGGGTTGGAGGCGAGAGCACAGAACGCCTCGTCGTACTGCCCACCCTGCACTGCATACTCAAACACATTCGCCCACAGCCGCCCCTTCACCCCCCTCACCACCTCCCCACCTGCCCCTGCTTCCACTTCCTCTGCTGCCACTGCCGCTGCCTGTGAGTGCCACTCCTCGTCGTGTTCGCCACAGGAAGCTTCCGGGAAGGCAGCGTCGGTCTCGTGGATGGCAGCAAGGGCGAAGCGGGCGGCAGAGGGACCCTCGCTGTAGCGCTGCAGCAGCCGCATCACCGCCTCGTAGTACCGCACCCGCTGCCTCGCCTCCGCTGCTGCCCCTGCTGCTGCTGCTGCACTTGCCGCGGGTTGTGCGGCTGCTGCTACTACTGTACCAGTGTTGTTCACGCAGCCACCACTGAACATCTCCAGTAGGCCTTGTAGTGGGTTCCCACCCTCTCCCACGCTCACCCCTCCCTCCCCTCCCTCACCACCACCAGCTCCTGCTGCCCATGCTCCCACTCCTTCCGCTGCCCGGAAGAAACATTTCACTGCCCGATCCACCAGTGCTGCCCGCATGGCCTCCCTTGCTGCTGACCCACGCCCTCCGCCCTCCCCTGCTGCTAAAAACGCACTCTGTCCCTTGCTGCTGCCACCGGCACTTAGCTGGCCACTGCTGCTGCCTGTGGAGGCGCTTAGTTGAAACCAGGAGGGGAGGTCAGCAGGGACGTGTGCGCAGGCAATCAAGGCGAATCCCAGAAGAAAGGAGCGCGCTGCCGACGCTTCAGGTTCGGCCGAACCAGAAGCGTTGGTTCGGGGAAGGGCTAAGGGGTTGTGGGAGAAGTGCGTGTCACGATCGACACAATCCAAGAGGAGCTGAGCGGATGGGGGGATGGGGAAGGGGGCGGCAGGAGGGAGAAAGGATGGAGAGGAGACAAACACAGGGGGTCATAAGATGGCAGTAGGCGGGCACAGGTAGTGCATTCACCAAAGCGTGGATTCGGAAGATTGACCCCTAACAGCATCCTGCACTGCACCCCTTGACCCTGTAGCTTAAAACCCCGGGAACCCTAAACCCTAGCAGACCTGAACCCTGGGCGCTCTTGAGCTTGACCCTCCTGTGCGCTCACCTTCACAATGTGGTAATGCCTGTGCGGCAGCAACCTCAGCCCCATGTGGGTCGGTCGGTTTACACAAGGAACAGCACAGCATACGTGTTCCAGCACCAGTGTACGTAACTTAACCCCCTCAGGCGCCCACCTTCACCATGAGGTACTGGCTCTGCTCCAGCAGCCGCAGCCCCATCTGCACGGCACGATGGAGGAAACTCGGCGCTCCCACCCCCACCCCCACCCCCATCGCCCCGCCCTGCCATCCCCCTATGTCCCCCCCTCCTGCGCGCCCTTCAGTCTGCCAGGGGTCGCGCCCCCACCGCAGGCGCACGGCTTCACTCATCGCCTCGCACAGCAGCCCCTCCCCACTCACACTCGCACCCCACCGTTTGAACCAGCAACACCACACCGTTTGGGCTCACCTTCACCATGAGGTACTGGCTCTGCTCCAGCAACTTCAGCCCCATCTGCACGGCGCGATGGAGGAAACTCGGCACTCCCACCCCCACCGTCCCTCCCTGCCACTCCCCCACTCCGCATTCAGTCTGCCAGGGGTCGCGGCCCCACCGCAGGCGCACGGCTTCACTCATCACCTCACACAGCAGCCCCTCCCCACTCACACTCGCACACCGCCAACCCCCCGCTCCCCCGCTTCCTCCCCTGCCCTCCAGTCCACCCCGGTCCTCCCCTCCTTCCATCTCCTCATCACTACTCTCCTCCCCTTCTCCCTCTTCTCCCTCGCTTTCAGTCCCATCAGAGTCCCCATCCGCTGGAAAAGACTTGCTTTCTTCTGATGCGCTCCCGTGCAGCCACCACCCCCGCCACCTGCCCCCCAACACACTGCCTCCGCCCCTACCCCCTCCTGCGCCTCCTTCTCCTCCCCCTTCCCTTTCCTCCTCTCCCTCCCCGTCCAATAAAACAGCGACAACTGTCCGCCTAGCCCACCGAAACTGCACCTCTCGCCTGCAGAACCTTCCAAGAAAGTCCCCTTCCGCCCCTGCCCCTGCCCCTGTCCCCCATTCCCCCATCCCTCCTCTCCTCCCGCTGCCAAACCCTAAACCCCCTCCCCCTCCGTCCCCCTGCCGGACCCACCTCCCAGACCCCCGCATGGTCCCCACAGCCACGTCAGCATCGCCGTCCACGTCAGCAACGCCTTTCCCACCAATATGCAGCGAGAGGAGATCCACAGAGAAATCATCCTCTGGGCTGCGAGCAGCAAAGGAGTCGGAGAGCGTGTGGAGGAGGAGAGTGGAGGAGAGGAGGGAGTGAGTGCGGGGCAGCAGGCGGCGAGAGAGAACGGAGCGGTCTGAGGGGGAGAGGAGGAACGGGGAGCGGGAGAGGTGGAGGAAGTGGAGGAGAGGGAGGAGGGAGAGGAGGAGGTGGAGGTGTGAGCCTAGCAAGAGGGTGAGGCCGTGAGAAAGCTCGAGAGGAGAGAAGAGGGAGGGAGGGAGGAGGTTGCTGATTGGTAGATCATCTATTTCCCCACTCCCATTCTGCCCTTCCACTGCCGCCGCTGCTGCCGCTGCTGCTGTTGCTGTTGCTGCACCTTCGGACCCACAGGAGGCAGATCCACCTTCTGGGAGCGTACCCAGATCCATACTCGTTATAAGCAGCTCCACTACCTCGAGTACACCACCCCACTTCCCTCCTGCTGCGTCTCTCAAATTCCCCAGGGCAGCTTGAAGCTTCACTGCAAACACCCTCTGCTCTGTGTTCTGCTGGGAAACAAATTCTCGGGCAGCCGACCGCAGCCTGTTCACGCTGCCCGAGCTACCCGGCGCCAGCTGCCCGAACTCCAAAAACTTTGCCACGTGTGCAAATGCATCAGCAGGCTGCAGGGACGGCGAGAGGAGACACGCAGGCAGGGCCAGCATGACAAGCCTGCCCACTCGCCCGCGAATCAGCTCCAGACAGCTGGCAAGCTCTCCCAACACCGCCGCCAGCTGGCGTTCCTCCATTGGCTGCTGCCGGGTTCCTTGGCTGCCCGCATTCAACCTGCCCGAACCTGGTCCGGCCGAAGCTGGTCTTGCGGAGGCCAGGGAACGAACCACGTTGGGTGAAAGGAGAGGCGGATTGCCTCCCAAGCCTCTCTCCCCACATGCTGCACCTGCAGTCCCTGGTATAGGCATTCCCGTGGGCATTCCTGTGGGTGTTCCTGTGGGTATTGCAGTAGACACTGCTGCTGCAATCCCTGCTGCACTCACTGCTGTGCGCACTGCTGCAGGTACGGCAGTGCCCCATAGGTTCATCTGCATTGAAACATCAGGCGCTTGCACCAGAGACACTGTGCATCCCCGAACCAGACCGATAGCCCCGGTGCCCGAACCTGCCCTCGAACCTGGACCTGAGCCAATCGTTGCAATCAGCCCTACAGGGGTGTTCACAGCCGCCCAGGCTCGGAGGTACTGCTTTGCCAAGTGCTCCCACCGATCCACCAGGCGAACCAGATCGGCCGGCTCGCCCCCGGAGCTGCCCAGGAGGCTCGGCAGCACCTGCAGGTCCGGACGGCGGTCCAAGAGGTAGGAGAGGAGAACCTGCCGAACCGCATCATGGCTCATCCGAGCCACATCTTCAGGCTTGGGCGATCCGAACGTCCCATTCCGTTGGCTGCCATAGGGGGAAAACTCCTGGTCGTGCTGCTGTTGCTGGTTCTGCGGGTGCTGGTGGTGGTAGTGCCGGTGGTGGTGCTGTAACCAAGCGAGCAGATGGGCTAGAGCAGGCTCGAGCAGAGCGGACGGGCAGAGCAGACGAGCAACGAGAGCATCGGCACAAAACTCAGTTACGGCACTCCAAATCACTGCACCACGTGCCCCTCCTGCTCCTGCTGCTGTTCCTGCTGCCAGTAAGCCGCCCTCTCCTTCCCCTGCAGGGGATCTGCTGGGTGCGGCACAGAGGACAGGGGAGAGCTCGAGGAAGGGAACGAGGCCCAAGGCCGACACCAGGCTCGCCCTGCTGCCCATATCAGCAAACGCAGTGGCTGTCACGGCTGTAGCGGCTGTAGCAGGTGCCGAAGCGATTGCTCCTGCTGGCCCGCTGGCTGACGAGGCGGGTACAGGCGGGGGGGAGAAGAACTGGTGGAGGGTCGAGTCTGAGAGGCCAAGCGAGGCTGATAGCTGCTGCTCCGCCAGCTGGCAGGCGCTGATTGGTGTGTACAGCGGGGACGGAGGAAGGAGAAGAAGTTGCTGCGAAGATGCCGCCGCCGCCGCCGCCGCTGCTGCTGCTGCTGCTGCAGCTGCTGCGTCCCGTGGTGCAGTGCCAGTGGCGGTGCCATCGCTGTCGAACAGCACACGGCGCACAGGCAGGCAGACCGTGTGGTGCTTCGCTGATGTGCCTGATGCGCCTGATGGGACTGATGGGACTGTTCCTGTGCCTGTGCCTTCACGCCCACACCCTTCCTGCAGCAGCATCCATACGTCCACCTCTTTCCCACCACCCGCCCCTTCTCCGCCCCCTCTGCCCCTCCGTCCAGCACCTCCAGCACCTGCAGCGAGCAGCACGCGAACGTCTCTGATCCACAGCCCCTGTCCCCCGCCTTCCCCCTCATCCCTCGCCTCCTCCCCCACCTGCTGCTGCTCGCGCTCACCCTCCTCCTGCTCGCCTGCTGCTGGCCATGCCCCGCCCGGCCCCCTCTCGCCCCCGCCCCTCTCGTCCGCTACCCCTCTGCTGTCACCGTCCCACACGCCATAGTCACAGCTGCGGGCCGTGGGCGCGCGGGGCAGCACGCTCCAAGCGGCCAGGCGGAGCGAGGCGGAGGCGGACGCGGAGGCGCGCGCGGGGTCAGGGGGAACGCGGAGACGGAGGGAGTGAACGGTGATGAGACCAGCAGCAGGGGAGGGGGACATCTCCGCGTGCTGCTGCCTGCTCTCTTGCCTGCCCTGCTGCTGCTGCTGCTGCTGCTGCTGCTGCTGCTGCTGCTGCTGCTGGGGGCACCAAGTGGTAATGACCAGTAGAGAGTGGGTGGCGGCAGCTGCGCTGGTGGTGGTGGTGGCGGAGCGAGTGGGGCCAGGCGCGGGGCGCAGAAGGATCTGCTGGACGGCCCATGCGCCTGGGGGGGGAGGGGGAGAGGGGGAGGGGAGAGAGGAAAGGGGAGAGAGGGAGGGTGAGGGGAGAGGGGGAGGGGGAGAAGAGTGGCGGGAGAGTTGGGAAGGGGGAGCAAGGGGGGGAGGGGGGGTGAGGTGGTGGGAGAGAGGGAGTCGTGAGGGGATAAGCGGGTTAGGGGTGGTACAGTGGAGGGCGAAAGGAGAGAACGAGAGAGTGGAGAGCGTAAGATACGAGCAAGCACGTGGCGCAAGCAAGGGAGGTTCAAAGCGCTAAGCTCGAACGCAACTTACCGTCACGGCTCCCCCCTGCCTGACCCGCGCCCGCAGCAGCCGCAGCTCCGCCCGGCCCCCACTCCGCCGCCGCCACCGTCACCGTCGCCACGCGAACCTTCCTCGAAACATCCCACACCCTCACCACACCATCTGCGTGCGCAACCGCAGCCAATCCCTGCCCGCCACGCGTCAGCAGCTGAATGGACCGCACAGGGGCGAGAGCCGCGCCCCTGCCTGCGCCTACCATCCCCCACAGGCGCGCCATTGCGCCCTCGCCCTCCCGCAACTCCGCCACCCCCGCTCCGCCAGACGCTTCCCTCTTAATAGCGCCACCCGTTACTGGCACAACAGGGTTGGCGAGTTTGTGGAACGGAACGGCGAGAGCGCTACCCGAACCTCCGCCGAGGCAAACCGTGTCCAGGCCGGCTGCTAGTGACGTCACGCCATTGCCGAGCCTAGAGACGAGGTTGGGCGGGAGCTGAAACGAGCGCAAGCAGCTGAGGGAGAAGTTACCAAGGAGGGAAGGTTCGGACGGTTTTGTTCCCGTACCACCGCCAGGCCTGGTGTCGAACCTGGAAGCACCGTTTAGGCGAAACCCTAAGCCGTTTGCGTCGTTCAATGCGCTACTGTTGCTGTCAAGCCCCCCAAACCCTAGGTCTACGGAGTAAATCACGCCATCTGAGGACAGCAGGTACAGGGACGCGCGAGAGAATCCCGATTCGAACCCATCGCCATCCTCATCATCGTCTTCATCCTCGTTATAGGCATCCTCGCTAAATTCCCCGTCGTCGGCAATCTCGGGGTTACGCTCGACGACAAAGGCTGCGAGCGGGAGAAGCGGCGCGGGGAACCGTAGATGCACTTCATGCGATCCCTGCCGTTGAGAGAACTGGCGAGCGACAGCAGCCGCGGATGTTCCTGTAACGAGCGGAGCGGGCTTAGACGCGGGGAAGGACGAATTCGGAAAGAGCTCTTTCAAAACAAGGACGGAGTGCGATTGGCGGATTTCGGATTGGATCTGCCACGTCAGCAAGCGCTGATTGGGTTGAACGGAATCTGCTCCCCGAGTCTGAAGAACCGATCCCCCGCCAAGACATGTCAGCGCGTCGGGATGCAATGTTACGCGAGGGCTTTGGGCTGCGCTCGAACTCGGAGTAGTTCGCGTCGCGGAAGAAACAGTAAATTCCCGCCATGCGTCCTGAGCTCCGAAGATCCGAGTCTCCATGGCTGCAGGTGACCGTTACGTGCTGGCTGCGTTAGGCCTGACTGGGACTGGGTTTAATCTCTGGATTTACCCTCTTGTTGACGGTTACTTGGCGCCGAGATCCCGAAATTGTTCTTGATTGATCGCAACGCTATCGTTACGCGACGTTGATTCTGAGGCTCCCGATTGCGAACGGACGCGAATGTTAGACCACGCGGTGCGATTTTAAGGCGAATTGATCATCGGAAAAACCAGGGAATCCGAAGCTCAGAATTAGTAGCTGGAAACCGCCGGTACACCGAAACATTGAGCTCAAATGTAGTCGTCGGGTTTACCTTGTCGTTTCTCCTTAAAACTAGAACCGCATCGGCTCGGACTACGCCCTAACAACTAGCAAGTCCCTAACTGGCCAGTCCCGACCACAGCACCAGGACCAAATGAACTAGGCTGATCAAGGACTAATTTTGGTTTCCAAGATGCGTGCGTGGCAGGGAATCATCTGGACACTCGTTCCCGCTCTCCTCTTAGGAGCCTGGAAATTTTAACTTTTGGGTAAGTTTGGCGAAAGTGTAGTGTAGTGTAACCCTGGCGGCCGAAACGAGCGAATTTGGTACCGCAACCTGTACTCGATTGTAGGGCCCAGGGCTTACTTGCACAAGTACACCTGTTTGATTTCTGAAGCTACGAGTCACCGAAATCCAATTCTTTGCCCAGAAATTGCTCCAGCTCATACAAGCGACAATCTGAACAGCCAATCACCAGGCGTCGGCTCGGCAAAACCAAGGGCTAGGAAACTCAACCCCTCGCACCCACAAACGCAACCCCTCAACCCTCTTCCTCAACCTCCCACCAAAACCTCAGCTGAGGATTAGCGCTCTACAGCTTCACACTTGGCCCCACTGGTGTGTGGCTCAAATCGTGCCCCAACTCTTTATCAACTCAACGCTCGCACTCCATTCCTCCCACCTCTCTGTTTCTCGTTTCTACTTGCCACTGATCAGCCCGATATTCGAGTCGTGGCCTTCGATCCGCCACTGCCTTGCCGCACGAACCGGCACGCGTCAGCGGGCGCGGCGCACGAGTCTTCGCTCTCTTGCGGATCGAGATCGATATCGTCTTTCTTTCTTTTGCGGATTCGGCCCTAGGAATCGATTTTCGCAGATTGGTCCTCGAGGTTCGATTCGTTCCTGATCGGATCGTCACCATGCCCCCACCTACAAGCGCCAGCGGCGCAACAGCCGCCGCCGTCTCCGTTACAACGACGCGCCTTTTAATCACCTACCACCCGCACGACCTGCCGCCCGGCGGCGATCCGCTCGTAGTGAGCAGCCCAGCGCCTCTTTATAAGTACACTCGATACGAGCCAGCGGGGCTCTCCTTCCACGAAGCCGCGAAGCGATTGTCGGGATTTCACGCGCCAGGGGAGGAAGATGCGGAGGAAGCGGACGAGGGGAAGGGCGAGAAGGTGAAGGACTCGGTCGATTCGTCGGCATGGGAAAGTTCGAGGAAGAAGAAGAAGGGGAAGGATGGGAAGGACGCGGAGAAGCAGGAGCAAGACCACTACGCGCTGCTGGGCATGGCGCACCTGCGTTTCTTGGCTACAGAAGACCAGCTTAAGAAGGCGTACCGGTGAGTGCGATTACGGACGCATGTCGTGATCGATTCTGTAAGTTGGAGGGAAAAAGTGGAGAGATACAGAAGGTCTCAGTACGCACTGCTGGGTATGGCGCACCTGCGGCATCTCGCGACGAAGGATCAGCTTAAGAAGATCAGCGTACCGGTGAGTGCGCGCACGGAAACGAACAGAATGGTTCAGTGAGATACAACGGCTTGGTTCGCGTTGCTGGGTTGACTCGCCTGCGGCATCTCGCGACGAAGGATCAGCTCAAGAAGGCGTACCGGTGAGTGCGATTACGGAAACGAGAAACGTTGAGAGTGGTTCAGTGAGATATGAAACGGCTTGGTACGCGCTGCTGGGACTGGCACACCTGCGGCATCTCGCGACGGCGCGTCGGCTCAAGAAGGCCTATCGGTGAGTGAGATCATATAAACCTTGAGAGCATTGAGGCGAGCTGGCTTTTGAGGCGCCTCAAAAGAGGTCATAGAAACCTCTATATGAGAGCGCTGAGGCGAGCTGGTGAGAGCAAGAGATGCGTGACAAGTATTGTACGGTCGAGGCCGCGTGCAGTAATACGGGGAAAACTCAGTCCGCGTCGCTAGGGTTCGGGGTTTTGAGGTCTCTGGCGAGAAAGGATCAGCCCAGGAGACTACAGGGTTGGCTTTCAGATCTCTCTAAAGCAACTTCCGTGCAGAGGTTCTAGACAAAGCGCAACTTACGAGATTACGAGAGGTGGGAAGTGTGAGATTTGAACGGGTGGCTCGTTGGGCGCTGGTGGGGCAGCGAGGGGGAAGGAGAGATCCTGGAGTAAGAGTGCCAGTTTCCCGTTTCCCGTTTCATGGAGCGTAGAGGTGAGAGTCATGGATCAACCACACGAGGTTCAGAATGCGATCACAAATGCATATGCGCGTGGTTCGATGAAATTCATTCTACGTTACCGAAGAAAACTGCAAGTATCCCTCTATACGGTTGGTATCAGGTTCCTCGTATACTCTGTTAGGGCTGCTACCATACCATTCTATGGTTACTAACTGATTATGAATCCAGCTGTTAACATTCTGTCATGCTCTGTCTGCTAAGGGCCCTCTGTCTGTCTCGAATACTGCCGCTCTTCCTCGTTAGATGATCCAGTAAGTTGTTAGAAACGGGAATCACCAGGCGTTCTTGCTCTCTTATTCCTCCAAAACCCCAGAATATTTTCTCCGCCGTCTTTTCCCTGTCCTCATCTCCGTCGACTCCTTATTCGAACTAACCTCGCCCCCTTCCCCCCTGAAGACTTTGTTCTCGTTCGCCCCCATTTCCCCCCTCCGGTTCCGCCTCGTTCTACATAATTCTCCTCACTCCTTTACGCTACCTGATCCTTTTGTTCCTCATAACGCCCTTGACCATGGAACGCCACAACCCCGTAACCTTAAACCTCGCAACCCCTTAACCCCAAACCTCGCTTAACCCCTCTACCTTCCATACTGCACGTTTGAGCTTCTAACCGATCTCCCGTCATTCCGTCGCACCGCATATCGCCCCTGTTGTAGAGGACTCTCCTCTACTTTGCAGGAACTAGGAATTCTTCTAAGCAGTAGAGCACACTCTTGGCTTTCCAAGGAGCCGTAGAACACGTAATTCGCCCAAGTATCGGCTGAGATACGGCTTTCAACGTGCTAGGTAGTGCTCTAAGATTGAAGGATAGAAAGTCTCTGGATTTTATGTCGAGTTGAACTGTGTATAGAAAACTCTAATTTTCAGTATATCATGCATACAAAGCAATCACAATATATAGCTACTCAAAACATCGAGTCGCGCATGTAACATACGAGATGCATCGAGAACATTCGCGTAACAATTCGAAGGGGTGAAATTCGGCACCCGAATTTCACCGAACCGAATTCTTCCTTAGTTTCGATCCTTCTTGTGTTGCCATGTGGCACCAATTGAGTGGGTCTTCCGAAGTCAACCCACACACTTCGTGAAACCTGCAGCTCTCTCAAGCGGTGAGCACCGAAACACATTCGGTGGGTTGGGGGCATATCAATTGCCCCACCACCGTTTGCTTCTAACTCACGCGACCTCCAACACTCCCCCTTGCACCCAACCCACTAGGTGTGCAATCCAACATGCTCGTAGCATGCACGGGACGGATCTTTAGGGGGTAGTTCCATGAGAGGATCCATGTGTTCATCATCACCCATGGTTGCGAAGCAAAATGCCGCCCCCTCCTTATCCAACTTCCCAACGGCTACCGTAGCATAGTCGGCGTACTTGGAGGGAGGACGAACCTCACGACGCTCGCGGGTCAAGGCCAATGGTAGGGAGGAAGGTGTGGAGGTAGTTGCCGCCTCGGTAGGTGACACCTCCACGACATCATCAACGCTCTCCTCGTTGTTCTCTCCCCCTCCATCGGCTTCCTTCTCCACTTGAGGTGGAGTCTCACTCTCTTCAACCTCCTCTCGTGGCGGAAGGATGAAAGTGAGTTGTTGAGTGGGTTTCTCTTTCGACGGGAACTTGTCTTCATCGAAGACCACGTCCCGAGACGTGACGACACGCTTTTCACCCAAGTCCCACACTCGCCATGCACGCTCGTTTGGCGCAACTCCCAAGAAGATCGCCGCACGAGCTTTCGGTTGCAACTTGTGGCGAAGAGGATCCGGTATATGGTAGTAGCAAAGGCACCCAAAGGTGCGTAGGCGGGATAGGTTCGGCTTCGTTCCGGTCCATGCTTCGAACGGATTCATTCCCGGTAGCACCTTTGTCGGCACACGATTACGAATCCATGCCGCTAGCGCACTCGCCTCTCCCCACCACTCGTTCCCAAGCTTGGAGTGTTGAAGTAGTGAACAAACGGCTTCCACCAACGTGCGATTAAGCCGCTCCGCCGCTCCATTTTGTTGGGGTGTGTAGGGTGTCGTGACGTCGTGCTTTATGCCCTTGCTCTTCATCCATTTCTCAAGCTCCGCGTTCACGAATTCGCCCCCACCGTCGGTGCGAATACACTTGATCCGCTTCTTGTCGTCGCAAACATCGAGCGCCCACTCTTGAATCGCCTTGGCCGCATCTCCCTTAGCCTTCAAGAGTCGGGTCCAACACATCCGCGTCGCGTCGTCGAGCATCACCAAGAGGAACCGCGCTCCTCCCTTTGATGCATGTCGCATCGGTCCACACACGTCCATGTGAACAAGCGCAAGCGGGTCCTTAGCGAGGGGTGACGTTCGGCTACCAAATGGCTTGCGAGCCATTTTTCCTTCGACACACGCCGCGCACACGCCCTTCTCGTCGTCGCCGGCGATCACGCCAAGTCCCTTCGCAAGTCCTTTGTTGGCCAACTCCTTGACCGAGTCGTAATTGGCGTGCGCAAGTCGATCATGCCACGCCTTAAGAATTGCCTTGGAGCCTTGCGCCACGTTCGATGAAGCCACTCTTGGGTACGTCTTGAGTTGGTAGATATCTCCATTGAGAACCCCTTGCGCGAATTGCTCCCCCTTCCAAAAGAGGTTCATCTTCGCACCGTCGATGGTGGCGATCACGCCCTTCTTCGCCAGGTGCGGGACGGATAGAAGGTTCACCTTCACCCCCGGGACGTGAAGCACGTTCGTGACGTCCACCGGTCCGCTATCGACGATGAGGCGCGTACTCCCAACTCCAACCACCGGTAGAGATTCGTTGTTTCCGAACACGATGCTCGTGACGTCTCCCGGAGCGCCAATGTTGTTGAGGAGCGACGCCGAGTGCGTCATGTGTTGCGTTGCGCCGGTATCGAGGAACCACGCGTCGCTCGGAGTTTTGTTCCCGTTGCCGGCCACTAACACGAGCGACTCCTTTGAATCATCGGCCTCGCCGGATGCCGTGTGCGCGTTGCCCTCTTCGTCCCGCGCCTTCGATGGAGTCCAATCGCTCGGCCGCTTCCGACACTCACGCCAAAAGTGTCCCGGTTTGCGGCAATAGTGACACTTGCCGCGATGCTCGCTCCCACCCGACGATTCATTTGTCGCACCCTTGCTCCACTTGGACTTTTTTCCGGAACTCCCTCCGGAGTACATGGCGGTCCGCTCGCTCTCATTCGCGAATTGTCGGCGACGTGATTCCTCATGGAGAAGCCGACCGACCACCATTTCCTTCGTCCAAGTGCCTTGCACGCTATCGAGTGTCGTAATCACCGTCGACCACTCTTCCGGAAGGCCGCAAAGCAAGGTGAAAATCCAATCCTCCTCCGTGACCGTTCCACCGAGGTCCATGAACGTTTCCCCGAGTTCCTCCACACGAGTCGCATACTCGTGCATCGATTCGCCCGCGCGCATCTTCACCGTGTAGAACGCATTCCGGGCTAGGATCTTGCCGTGGAGAGTCTTGTTCACGTGGATGGTCTCGAGCCGCTTCCACGCTTCATGCGCCGACGCTTCGAGCTTGATGCACATGCGCACCGAGCTCACGAGATTGATGCCGATGCGCGAAATCAACGTAGCGAACGCCTTTTGGTCCTTCTTCTTCCATGCCGCGATGTCGCTCTCGTCGTCCGGCTTCTCCGTTCCATCGAAGAATCCCCAAAGTCCCCGCTCCATCATGAGCACTTGGAACTTAAACTTCCACGCGGAGTAATTTTGTCCCGTGAAAATCGGTACCGCCGACGTGTCGAACATCGTCGCGGTTGCCCAGGGTTCGCCTGTATTTACAACGACACCATCCAAGGAAGTGCGGGAGGCCTCGCTTGACGTCATCATGCTTGCTCCTTGTCGCGCGCGTAGACTCCTCCGACCAGCTCTGATACCACTGTTGTAGAGGACTCTCCTCTACTTTGCAGGAACTAGGAATTGTTCTAAGCAGTAGAGCACACTCTTGGCTTTCCAAGGAGCCGTAGAACACGTAATTCGCCCAAGTATTGGCTGAGATACGGCTTTCAACGTGCTAGGTAGTGCTCTAAGATTGAAGGATAGAAAGTCTCTGGATTTTATGTCGAGTTGAACTGTGTATAGAAAACTCTGATTTTCAGTATATCATGCATACAAAGCAATCACAATATATAGCTACTCAAAACATCGAGTCGATCGAGTACATTCGCGTAACAATTCAAAGGGGTGAAATTCGGCACCCGAATTTCACCGAACCGAATTCTTCCTTAGTTTCGATCCTTCTTGTGTTGCCATGTGGCACCAATTGAGTGGGTCTTCCGAAGTCAACCCACACACTTCGTGAAACCTGCAGCTCTCTCAAGCGGTGAGCACCGAAACACAGGTGGGTTGGGGGCATATCAATTGCCCCACCACCGTTTGCTTCTAACTCACGCGACCTCCAACAGCCCCACCCCTTTCCCGCCACATTTGAGGCGCCTCAAAAGTCATTCCGTCGCACCGCATATCGCCCCACCCCTTCCCCGCCACATTTGAGGCGCCTCAAAAGTCATTCCGTCGCACCGCATATCGCCCCACCCCTTCCCCGCCACATTTGAGGCGCCTCAAAAGTCATTCCGTCGCACCTCATATCGCCCCACCCCTTCCCCGCCACATTTGAGGCGCCTCAAAAGTCATTCCGTCGCACCGCATATCGCCCCACCCCTTCCCCGCCACATTTGAGGCGCCTCAAATGTCATTCCGTCGCACCGCATATCGCCCCACCCCTTCCCCGCCACATTTGAGGCGCCTCAAAAGTCATTCCGTCGCACCGCATATCGCCCCACCCCTTCCCCGCCACATTTGAGGCGCCTCAAAAGTCATTCCGTCGCACCGCATATCGCCCAACCCCTTCCCCGCCACATTTGAGGCGCCTCAAAAGTCATTCCGTCGCACCGCATATCGCCCCACCCCTTCCCCGCCACATTTGAGGCGCCTCAAAAGTCATTCCGTCGCACCGCATATCGCCCCACCCCTTCCCCGCCACATTTGAGGCGCCTCAAAAGTCATTCCGTCGCACCGCATATCGCCCCACCCCTTCCCCGCCACATTTGAGGCGCCTCACAAGTCATTCCGTCGCACCGCATATCGCCCCACCCCTTCCCCGCCACACCAGGGATGCAGCTCTGCGCTTCCACCCGGACAAGCAGGCTGCAATGCTGCTGGAGGAGCAAACAGACGAGGCGCGGGCAGCCAAAAAGGAAGAGATCGAGACCAAGTTCAAGGCCATCCAGCTGGCCTACGAGGTCCTCTCAGACCCGGCCAAGCGCCGAGTGTACGACTCCACAGATGAGTTTGACGATGATATTCCCGGTGATTGCTCCCCGGAGAATTTCTTTAAGATTTTTGGGCCCGCTTTCCAGAGAAATGCCAAGTGGTCGGTGATTAGCCCGACCGAGGTTCCGGGTTTAGGGGACGAGAATACGCCGGTTGCCGAGGTGGATAAGTTTTATGATTTCTGGTGGGCGTTTAAGAGCTGGAGGGAGTTTCCAAATGAGGATGATTATGACGTGGAGAGTGCTGAGAATCGGGAGCATCGGAGGTGGATGGAGCGGCAGAATGCGAAGCTTAGGGAGAAGGCGAAGAAGGAGGAGAGTGCGAGGATAAGGCAGTTGGCGGAGAATGCTTATAAGCAGGACCCGCGGATTCTGAGGAGGAAGGAGGAGGAGAAAATGGCAAAGCAGCGGAAGAAGGAGGAGAAGCAGCGGGAGAGGCAGGCGAAGGAGGACGAGGGGAAGCGGAAGGTGGAGGAGGAGAGGAGGAGGAAGGAGGAGGAGGATAAGCGGGCGGCAGAGGAGGCGGCAATTATGAAGAAGCAGAGAGAAAAGGACAAGAAGGCAGCGAGGAAAGAGAGGGCGAGACTGAGAGCAGCGACGACGGATTGCCTTGAAGCCGCGCCTGCGGTAACCAGCAAGCAAAGAAAACAGCAGCAGCAGCAGCAGCAAGAGCAGAAGAGAGAGGAGTGGGAGACGCTGATTACAGAAGAGGAGCTGGAGAGTCTAGGGCAGGCCTTGGAGTTGGAGAAACTGCGAGCGCTCTGCGACAAGTTGGAATCCTTGTCCGCTTCTGCCGGTTCTGATGCTGCTGCTGGCACTGCAGCAGTGAAGCGGCAAACCCTCCGACTGTTCTCCACCGCTCTGAAAGTCAACCGGTGGGACGGGCACAGTCCGGACTTTGAGTACCAGCAAATCCCTGTGGTTCTGTCCGAAGCTGCGGCAGCGGCGGCAGCGGCAGCAGCAGCGGAGCGAGAGGCAGAGGCGGAGAGGGAGAGGGAGGCACGGCGGGCGGCAGGTGGGAGTGGGAAGCCGTGGACGCGGGAAGAGATAGAGCTGCTGAGGAAGGCGGTGGGGAAGTTTCCCAAGGGCACGGGGCAGCGGTGGGAGGTGATAGGGGAGTATCTGGGCACGGGGCGGTCGGCAGAGGAGGTGGTGCGGGCGACCAAGACGGTGCTGCTGCAGAAGCCAGATGACACCAAGGCTTTTGACAGCTTCCTGCAGGTGGGTGGGGTTTTGGGTGTCTGAACCATGAAATTTGGGGTTCAAGGTTTGGGGTTCGGGGTTGGGGGTTTGGGGGATGTGCGGTATAGGTGTGGCGAAGGAGGTGGTGCGGGCGACCAAGACGGTGCTGCTGCAGAAGCCGGACGACACCAAGGCGTTGGACAGTTTCCTGCAGGTGGGTATGGGGGGGGGGGTTTGGAGTTTGGGGGGTTGCGGTATGGATGGGGCGGAGAGGAGGTGGGGCAAGGCGAGCGTTTGATAGCTTCCTGCAGGTGCGTGGGCTTTAAGGGTCTAATGAAACCATGGGAATCAGGTTCAAGGTCTCCACTCCGCTACACTACACTACACTACACTCCACTCCACTCCACTCCACTCCACTCCGCTCCACTCTACTCGTGTCATTTAGATGGCACCTTGATGATGTCCCAGGCACATAGTCGCATCTCCTCGCCTCTATCCACTCTCCTCCAGATGTTACCTTCTTGAGACGCCTCAATAATCTCCACGTTACCACTCCCACCCACTCCCACCCACTCCCACCCACTCCCACCCACTCCCACCCACTCCCACCCACTCCCACCCCTCCTCCCGCAAGCAGCGTCGCAAGAACCCCAAGGACATTGCCTCGCCTCTCTCCACACGTGAGGAGCTTGATGCTGCCGCTGTGGCTCCTGCTGCTGCCACTGGTGCTGCTGCTGCTGGTGCTGCCACCCCTGCAGTTCCTGCCTCGTCGAATTCCCCAGCTAAAGCAGCAGAAGCAGGAGGAGCAGCAGCAGCAGCAACACCAGCAGCAGAAGCAGGGAAACAAGCAGGGGCAAAAGCAGCAGCAGCGCCAGTGGCGAATGGAGTGGGGGCGGCAGGCAAAGGGGCTAGTCCAGGGGCAAAGGGCGCGCGGGTGGGGGAGTCTGCAGGTGCTGCGAATGGTGTGGCTGCTGGGGCAGGTGCTGCTGGGGCAGGTGCAGCAGGTGCATCTGCTGCGGCAGAAGGGCAAGTGGATGTGTGGGGCGAGGCACAGGAGGTGGCGCTGGTGAAGGCACTTAAAGCCTTCCCCAAGGACACTGATAAACGGTGAGTGAGAGCTCGCTTGCCTTCTTTTGAGATGCCTCAAAAGTGGAGCTGGTGAATGCACTTAAAGCCTTCCCCTAGGACACCGATAAGAGGTGAGAGCTGGCATTGAGACATCTCAAATCCAACCTTATATCAGAAGGAACTTAAAGCCTTAACTAAACAAACGGTGAGAGCTTGCTTGCTTCCACCTTCCTTCCTTTGCATCTCACTTCTTCTTCCTCCTCCTCCTCCTCCTCCTCCTCCTCCTCCTCCTCCTCCTCCTCCTCCTCCTCCTCCTCCTCCTCCTCCTTCTCCTCCTCCTCCTCCTCCTCCTCCTCCTCCTCCCCTCCCCCCTCCCACTCCCCTTCCTCTCCTCTCTCCATCTCACCCCTCATGCCGCGCACACCGGTTGTGCCCCCTCATGCCTGTGTGCCAGGTGGGACTGCATAGCAGCAGCCGTGCCGGGCAAGAGCAAGGCACAGTGCTTGATAAATGCCTTTCGTGCCCCATCTGCCTCTCATCCACGCCCCCCATGGCAGGTGGGACCGCATAGCAGCAGCAGTGCCGGGCCAGAGTAAGGCACGGTGCTTGATAAATGCCCGTGTGCCCCATCTGCCTCTCATCCACGCCCCCCATGGCAGGTGGGACCGCATAGCAGCAGCAGTGCCGGGCCAGAGTAAGGCACAGTGCTTGATAAATGCCCGTGTGCCCCATGTGCCTCACATTCACCCCTTTTTTATGACAGGTGGGACCGCATAGCAGCAGCGGTGCCGGGCAAGAGCAAGGCACAGTGCTTCAAGAAGTTCAGCGAGCTCAGGCAGAGCTTCCGAACCAAGAAGAGTGGCGCGGCGGAGTAGTGTGGTTCGGGAAGAAAGTGTTGCGGCAGAGTAGCGTGTATGCAGTGAGCGCAAGCAGAGCTTCCAACTCAAATAGAGTGGCGCCGTGGAGTAGACTGTTCTGGGAAGGGAGGTGGTTGGCTGGTTGCTTGGCTGCTTGGTTGGTTGGGAGGGTTGATGTGATCTCTGTTAAAACAAGAGCAGTGGCAGGCAGCAGTTGAAATGCCGATGACGACTTGGCAGCAGCTGTGGTTGCGAGGGCTGGTGGTTGTGACAATATTAGAATGACTGTTGGTGGGCAACAGCTACAAGCAGCTGGATGCATTTATTTTCAAATGTAACTCTAAGATGCTTATTGAACAATATCAGAAGCAGCATCCATCTCTTGCGTTTCAACCACGAGTGTACTGGGATGTGGAGCCTTCATATACCGTAAAACGAATACAGGTAGACATTTATAAATATTCTTGTTGATGCTTTCATAAATATAAACCAATAGCTGAATCATGGGTTTGTGGGGTTGCATAACGACATTCGTGTACTTTATCGTTACTTGAGAAGCGAAGGGTCGCGAACAGGAAAATTTGCTCGTCGGTTACAAGGATATTGAACCCCATGTCCGGCCCACATCATCTGACCGTTGTCCTTATCATCCTCATCTTCAAAAATCTCTTCCACCATTGAAACCCTAGATCGAGATTTGGTGAGCACATCGTCCTTAGACGCCATGGATCGCCGTGGCTATCCGCCCGGTCCGTCCGGTTGGGATCCCAATGTAAGTGTTGCCTGCTCTGCTTTCTTTCCACTCGTTTTAAACTATATAAAAGGTGCGTCATGTCTTCGAAATGCCTTGCGCGTTTCATCTTAGGCTCTGGCTGTCGTGTTCATTGGTGGCTGATCTTTCTGTCGTGTTTTCCTTCGTAATATCCCCTCAGTTCCGTTTCCCGCTTATCTAGGTTTCCTGGTGGAAACGGCTTTCGTCATTTTTCTTGATTTTCACTGTTACTTCTTTTCCGCTTTCATGTCCTTGCGTGGGCCTCTTTTTGCCAGCTGATTCGTCAGGCGCTATAGTTCCTCTCAATCTACCCTTTTTCTCGTTGTATTTCTCCGTTTCTCCCGTTCCAGTCACCCAACCCACCACCCATGGATCAGCGATATAACCAGCCGCCGCCTTCACAGCAGTATCTACCTCCGCAGCAACAGCAACAGCAGCAACCGCCGCCGCAGCAGCAGCAGTTTCAGCAGCAACCCTCTTATCCTCCATACAGCCAGGGTCCCCCTCAGGTTCCGCCGTACAGCCAGGGTCCGCCTCCCCCTTACGGCGGAGGCCCGCCACCGACATCTTATAACGAGCCGCCGCCACAGCCGTATAACGCGCCGCCGCCACAGTATCAGACTTACGCCGGCGGTGCACCGTACGGTGGTGCCCCTCCCCCGCAGACGAGCTACAGCCCGCACCCACCCGCGTATGGCGGTCCGGCACCCGGGTACCCCCCGCCGCAACAGCATCAGCAGCCGCCGCCGCATCTCCCGCCGCAACAGCCGCCGGCGGGATACGCCCCGCCTCCGTGGCAGCCGCAGGGACAGCCGCCAGCTCAGGGGCAGTATCCGCCAGCTCAGCAGATGCCAGGTGGCATGCGGCCTCCTGAGGGGCGACCCGATCCGTCCGCGGCAGCCCCGTGGAAGCAACGTCAGCAGCAGCAGCCGGAGGAGGAGCGAGGGAGAGACAGGGACGAACGTGGTCGCGACCGCGACCGAGATCGCGATCGCGATCGGGATCGCGACCGGGATCGGGATCGGGATCGGGATGGTTCGTCGAAGCCGTCGCTTAATCGCTACCCGCCGCCGCAGAGCTTGTACAGCGACCCGCTTAAGCCGGCACCCAGCTCGATCTACGAGGACGAGTCGCCCCGCAAATCGAAGCTTAAGGTGGAAATGGTCATGGGAAAGGCTGCCGGTGCGGATGCTAAGACTGGAGCTGCTACCTCTGCTATGTCTCAGATCCTTGCCGCCAGATCTGCCGTTTCTGCGCTTCTCGCGGCGACGAACCCGCAACTGGCGGCGGCGCAGCAGCGCGCCGCGGCAGTCTCAGCCGCGATCACCGGATCGACGGGATCCGGCGGCGCGGGCTCTGCTGCGGCGGCGATTGCGGCGGCCGCTGCGGCGAAGAACCCGCTGCTGGCGAGTAACCCGATTCTCGCGGCGCAGGTCGCGGCTCTCGGCGGTTCAAACGCCGCGTCTGCCGCTGTAACGAAGGCCGCGTTACTTGCCGCCGCCGCGAACAGCGCGAAGCTCGGCGCAGTGAACCCTGGACTCGCAATGGCCTTGGCTATGGCTGCCGCGAAGCAGGCGGAAGCGGCGCGGGCGGAAGGGATACCCGCGGAGGGGGACAAGGACAAGAAGGCGGAGGACCGCGCGGGGGAGAAGCGTCGGCGCTCTCGCTCCCGCTCCCGCTCCCCGTACTTCCGCCGGGGGAGGGGGAGATCCCTGTCCCGCTCCCCTCCCCGCCGCCGAACCAGGTCCCCGGTCCGGGAAAGGAAGCCTGGGTCCGCGTCGCCCACGCGCAGGAGCCCGTCGCCCAGGATTCGCAGGCGACGATCGCGATCGCGGTCGCGGTCGCCCGTGCGACGCAGGAGGGGGAGATCGGGGTCGCGCTCGCGGTCGCCGTTCGGCCGGGGGGGGAGGTTTGGCGGGTGGCGCGGGCGCGGGCGGGAGAGCAGTCCGGAGCAGCCGACGAGCACGGTGCTCATCCGTGGCATTGCGCCGTGGGCCGTGGAGGCGGATATCTTCGCGCTGCTGGTAAGAGCTGGTGCTGGTAAGCCGCAGTGTTTTGAGTAGACTCAAAACACAGCGGGAGGAAGGTCAGTCCGGAGCAGCCAACCAGCACGGTGCTCATCCGTGGCATCACGCCGTGGGCTGTGGAGGCGGATATCTTCGCGCTGCTGGTAAGACCTGCTGAGACTATCTCAAGAGTTGTCTCAAATGTTGCCTCATCCGCGGCATTGCGCCGTGGGCCGTGGAGGCGGATATCTTCGCACTGCTGGTAAGAGCACTCTTCATCTGCAAATGATAGTCAAGATGTAGTTATTCCTGGCCATCTGCGGCATTTTCCGTGCATTAACAAGGGCGCCTGGTGATATATATGTGTATTTCCGTTCCTTCTGCATTCCCTGATGCGAGGGCAGGGCGAGTGGGGTCCATTGACGGAGGTGCGCGTCATCAAGCCACAGGGTTTAACAAGGGCTTGTGCTAATCAACACGTGTGCTCGTGCATTCCCGTCCCGTGTCCCTGCATCGCGTGTGTTTGTTGCAATGGCAGGGCTAGTGGGGGCCGTTGAAGGAGGTGCGAGTGATGAAGGAGCGGGCCACGGGGTTCAACAAGGGCTTCTGTGAATTAAGTTTTGTATCCCCGTTCCCTTTGCACTCCCTGTCTTCACGCGTTGGCAGGGCGAGTGGGGGCCATTGAAGGAGGTGCGCGTGATCAAGGAGCGGGCAACGGGGTTCAACAAGGGCTTCTGTTTCGTTGATCTTGAGACCGTGGTGCGTGACCGCCACGTCCTTGCTTCTCACACTTGTCGCTGTAGACGCAACGCTTCGTTCGTCGTTGCCTCTCACACTGATCCTCCCCTGCTCCCTCGTGTGACTATTCGTTTTAATATCAATTCTAGCTAGTTTGAAGCCCCTCCTTTATTGTAACAGTGGGACTGGCTTGCCGAAGCCCCCGGTCCCTCACTTTCTCCCCTTCCCGTTCCAGAAACGAAGCAAGGCTTGCCCATCATCACAGTGCGGTTCTGTGCGGTTCAGGCTTTCTTTCTGAGGCCGTATTCATTTCCGTGTCCCCTGATTGGACGCGCTTTTCCCCTTTGTACCACAGTCCATCCCCTTCCGCATCCCCTCCTGCATAGCTTCATTGCGGTCCTTGCTCCCAGCGCGTTTTGAGTTGACTCAAAAGTCACTTCATTGCGGTCCTTGCTCCCGGCGCCTGGTCTATCCCTCTCCGCGCTTCACCGCCTGTGTCCCTCTCACGCCTCCCTCCCTCTCCCGCTCCTTCGTCTCTGCGTTCCTACACGCCCATGTCCTCTCCCCGTTACCCCCCTGCTCCCTGCCGCTTCCGCAGTCTCACTTGCGACCTCCTTCCCTTTCCCGCCTTTCCCCTCCCTCTTTTTCTCTCCCGTGTTTCTTGTGTCTTTGACCCCGCCCTCTCTCTCCCCTGAGTCCGCTCCTGCCGCCCCCCTGTTTTAACCCGACTGCTCTTTCCCTCCCGTCTTCCCCCTCTTTTCCCCTTATCCTTTCTCATCCCCTCCTCTTTTTTCTTTCCGCTCCCCTTTCCCCCCTTCCCCTCTTTCGCCCCCTGCCCCTCGTCCCACATCCCAACGCCCTCCGCTTTCCAGGAGGCGGCAAAGGCGCTGGTGGAGGGTGGGAGGGCGAAGGAGCTAAAGATGGATGACCGCTTGCTCTTGTTCCACTACAGGTGGAGATTAAAGACTTTAATAAGCACTCTGACACGGGTCTGGCTGGGCTGGGTTGTTGTGAGCATATCGGACTGCTCACACGTGTTAGTTGCGTAGTCATTGCTCTCACAGCTCTTGGTTTAGCACTGCCTCGTGCCAAGGCTGTGACGCGGGCGTCGTCGCAACAGGAGGAACTGCGGATGGAGAGCTGGTGGCTTGTTCGAATGTGGAGATTCGCTGGTGTTTCCAATACACGTGACTCTTTTTCTTTTGGGTGCAATCGGTGCGAGACATACAATACAAGTCAGGAGACAAAAGAGACTTACGCTCCATGGAGGCTTTGGAAACTTTTGAGGAGGTTTTTGGAGGGGGGTCATGCCACTTGGAGGGGGGTCATGCCACTTGGAGGGGGGTCATGCCACTTGGAGGGGGGTCATGCCACTTGGAGGGGGGTCATGCCACTTGGAGGGGGGTCATGCCACTTGGAGGGGGGTCATGCCACTTGGAGGGGGGTCATGCCACTTGGAGGGGGGTCATGCCACTTGGAGGGGGGTCATGCCACTTGGAGGGGGGTCATGCCACTTGGAGGGGGGTCATGCCACTTGGAGGGGCGTCATGCCACTTGGAGGGGCGTCATGCCACTTGGAGGGGCGTCATGCCACTTGTGCAAGAGAGGCTGGGTTCCGAGGCAAACGGTTCTCAGGTTCTGAAGCAACTGAGGCTTCGCTCAGTCGTTGGAGCAAACGGTTTCTCGTTTAACCCCTTCCAAACTTACTCCCGCGTATCACCCTCTCAGATTGTCCTACCTGCCTAGTGCTCGCCCCAGCCATTGCTGCCATTTGTCTCCTGCTCTGCTGCGCTCAGGACTTGACATTGCACACGCGTCTCATTATTCCTCTCCTTTCGCGCCTCCACGTCCTCCCCCCCTCCCCCTTTCCCCTGCATCTCTCCGCCTCCCCCTGTGTCTCCTCCGCCCTCCCGCGCCCCTCGTCTCTTCCACTCCTTCCTCTCCCTCTCCCTCTTTGCCTCTCTGTTCCCTTCTCCCCTCGCCTCTCCCGTCGTCGTCCCTCTCCTCCCACCTCGTCCCTGCTCTCTGTCAACCCCCTACAGCAAACCGTTGCAAGGGGCGGAGGACGGGGGCGCGCTTGCAGACAGCAGCTCGGGGAAGCCCCTCGACTGGGTCTGCCCCTACTGCGGAGTCAATAACTTCGCCCGCCGCTCCGAGTGCTTCAAGGTGGGTGCTTGTTGCCCAGCTTTAGAAGCCCTTGTTAAAGCCCCTTTAGGGCAGGAAAAGTTATGGGGGCACGAGAGGCAACCATCTTACGTGGTTTTTACTCAACCTTATCACATCACATGGTTTCCACTCAACCTCCTTTTTCCTCCTTTTGCTGCGTGCTCTCTCCTTTCCCGTGAGCAGTGTGTGACCCGCAGGCCCGCCAATCCCGTCACTGTTGCCGACAGGGGCGATGCTGGCGGAGGCGAATATGGGGGGCGAGGCAAAGGAGGCGAGTGGGAGGGGCGAGGAGGCGGGAGGGCGGCGACGGTTGCTGTGGCCATGGGTCCAGATGCGTCGAACGTGCTTATAGTGAGGGGGCTGGACGACAGCGTGCATGAGGAGAGCCTGAGGCAGGAGTTTTCCCAGCACGGCTCCGTGACTGTAAGTGGCTTTAGTGTGACTGTAAGTGGCTTTAGTGTGACTGTAAGTGGCTTTAGTGTGACTGTAAGTGGCTTTAGTGTGACACTTAGCGGTGCGACCGTATGAGAAGTAAGATGGAGCTAGAGAAAGCTGGGTGGGACTCAAGACACGGATGTAGATGCTCGAGATCTTAAGATTGTGTGCTCCTTCCCCCCTCCCCGCCCTCTCTTTGGCCTTCCGCGCCAGACACCGCGCACCTAATACCACACTTACGGGATTTGAGACGTCTCAAAACTCGACGACATCGCGCACCTAATTCCAGACTTACGGAATTAGGTGCGCGTACCCTACGTCTCCCCCATCTTTCCATCTGGCGGAATTAGGTGCGCGTACCCTAATTCCAAAGTTGGGTGTAGCCCTACAAAGCAAGCTACACCCAAAGTTGGGTGTAGCCCCAACCCCTTGATACTTAGCATGCTATACATAGAGATTCTAACATAGATCACTCTCAAGTCTAGGTATCCTGAGTTTCACGCATCCTTCCATCTGGTCCCCACCCCTCTGTGCGCCCGTCTCTTCCCCTCTGCGCCCCACACCAGGGCGTGCGTATGATGCGTGATCAGACGATTAAAACCTGAACCCTCTACCCTTTTGCCTATGTCTCTCTGCCCCCCTCTCTCCTCGCGTGCCACCAGGATGTGCGTATGATGCGTGATAAGATCACACTCAAGTCACGCGGATTTGCCTTTGTCACCCTCGCCAATGTAAGTGACCGTGCTGCTTCTTGCGCTCAGCATGTATTGGTTGGTCCCTTACATGTTTATCTTCTGAGAATTTTAAGAGGATTCGCCTCCGTCACACTCGGCAATGTAAGTTCCCGTGCTGCTTCTTGTGCTACATGTGACGTGTCACAACAAGCGCCTCTTCAAGGGTGGGCAAGTCATGCAAGTGGCGTATGCCCCTCACCTCATCCCCCCCTCCCCCCCCCCTCCCCCCCCCCCCCCCCCCCCACTTCTCTCCCTCGTCTTCACACTTTCTTCTCTCAGGTGGATCAAGCCACTCGTGCCATGCTCACGTGTCACAACAAGCTCCTCTTCAAGGGAGGGCCAGTCATGCGAGTGGCGTATGCACGTGGCCCCAACCACGGAGTGCCCTCCACGCCTCTCGCCGACGCTGCCACTGCTGCCTATGCCGCTGCCGCTGGTGGTGCTGCTGAGGATACTGACGTCATGGCTCAGGTGTGTTGGCTTAGGTCTCGTTTGAGGCTGATTTGGGTCTGGTTTGGGTCAGAGAGTATGGGAGTTTGTTATCAAGGGAGGGCAGGTCATGCGAGTGGCGTATGCGCGCGGCCCCAACCACGGAGTGCCCTCCACGCCTCTCGCCGACGCTGCCACTGCTGCCTATGCTGCCGCTGCTGGCGGTGGCGCTGTTGCGGATAATACTGATGTCATGGCTCAGGTCAGGTGTGTGTTGGGGTTTGGTGCCTCTCATCCTCATTTCGTGCTCTATCGCTCACCGTGTCGTTCTCTGTGTTTTTGGCGCCCTCTTTTCTCTCACTCACATTTCAGATGGAGGCGTCTGGGTGGATGCCCAAGGAGTATGACGAGGCGGCAGCAGCAGCCGTGCTCACACCTTCACACCCTTTGTTGTCTGTGCAATGCACTTTGAACCACCCCCATTTCAGATGGAGGCGTCTGGGCGGATGCCGAAGGAGTATGACGAGGGGGCAGCAGCAGCACTCGCATCGCAACCCTCACACCCTTTCTTGTCTGTGCAGTGCACTCTGAATCACCCCCTTTTTCAGATGGAGGCGTCTGGGCAGATGCCCAAGGGGTAGGACGAGGGGGCAGCATGGGGCGAGCAGCAGCTCTCACCCTTCATTGTCGTCTGTGCTTCTCCCACCTCTCGTTCCCCCCTTCCACAGATGGAGGCATCTGGGTGGATGCCAAAGGAGTATAACGAGGGGGCAGCAGGAGGCGAGCAGCAAGCGCAGGCGGGCAGTGGCTTTGTGTGGGACGAGGCGTCGGGGTATTACTATGACAGCACCACCAGCTTCTATTACGACAGCGCCTCAGGTGGGGTTTGTTAAGTGGTTGTTGAGTGGACCGTGTGTGTGTTGCCGTGAGGGATGTGCTTTGTGTGTGGGATGAGGCGTCGGGGTGTTATTATGACAGCATCACCAGCTTCTATTACGACAGCGCCTCAGGTGTGATTCATGTATGGGGACTATGTATGTGCCTGTGCGCTTCTAGTGCTTCGGGTGGCAGAGTAGCTAGTAGTCAATAGCTTTGAACCTGTCGCCCTCTTTGCCTCTTTCCCCCCCCACCCTTCCTCCATCCCCCCTACCAGACCTCTACGACCACTCTGACTCGCGCCAGTCGTTCCGTTACGATGTTACCACCGGGGAGTACAAGCAGTGCTCGGCTGAAGGGCTCGGCGAACCAAGATACTCCATTTGCCCTTACCCCCTCGTCTCGTCTACCCATCCCCTCCCTTCCTCCCCTCCCTCTTCCTCCTCCCTCCCCCCCCCCCCCCCCCCCCCCTTCCCCCCACAACCCCCTCCAACCCATCTCAGACCTGTATTACCACTCGGACTCGCGCCAGTGGTTCCGTTACGATGTTACCACCGGGGAATACAAGCAGTGCTCCGCTGAGGAGCTGGAAGCGGCTGGTAGCGCCCCTGCCGCCATGGCTGTCGCTGCCGCCACCGCCGCGACTAAACGCGACGCTGCCGCTGCAGCCGGTGCTGCTGCTGCTGGTGCTGGTGATGGTGATGGATCGGCAAGCAAGCCACAAAACGAAGGGGCAGCTGGGGCGGGCACGGTGGGGCAGGCGAAAGGGGTGAAGGAGGAGCAGCCGGGAGAGAAGCGGAAGAAATCATTTGCCGAATCCGTGGCAGCGGCTGCTGCGTCTGCGTTTCAGGCGGAGAAAGAGAGGGAAGCTGCGAGGAAGAAGCGGCAGGAGAAAGAAAAAGAAGCTGCTGCTGCCGCCGCCGCCGCCGCTGCCGCTGCGGCCGCCGGTGCTGCTGGTGGGGATGGTGCTGCTGCTGCTTCTGGTGGTGCTGCTATGGAGGGCAAGATTCGGACGTATGTGCCGTCTGCCGCCCTCTCTGCTCAGGTGGCAAAAGAAGGTGAGGCGGGGCAGGTAGCGGGCGGGCAGCAGGACGGGCAGAACGACGGGCAGAAAAAAAATGAGGGGGTTAAGGAGGAACCGAAGGAGGGTGAAGGGGAGGGGAAGGGAGGTGGGAGTGGTAAGTCTTCTACTGCTTCTGCGCTGGCTGCTGCTGCTGCTAAGGCGGCTCAAGCAAGGCTTGCTGCTGCTGCTATGAGTAAGGAGAGCAAGGAGAGGGATAAGGAGCGGGAGGAGAGGCAGAAGGAGCGGGAGAAGGAGCGGGAGAGGGAGAAGGAGAAGGAGAAGGATCGGAGCAAGGACAGGGAGAGGGAGAGGGAGCGGGATAGGCACAGGGATCGAGAGCGGGAGAGGGACCGGGACAGGCGCGATCGGGACCGCAGGGGCGACCGGGATTACCGCGATAGGCGCGACGACAGAGACAGAGACAGGGACAGAGACAGGGACAGGGATCGAGACCGGGAGAGGGAGCGTGAACGCGACAGGGAGCACAGGAGGAGGGACGAGAAGGACGGGCGTGAGCCAGAAGGAGGGGCAGCAGGAGGAGCAGGAGGGGGAGAAGGTGGTGGTTCTGCTCCTCCCCAGGGGTACTCTGGGGCTCCCCCGGAGAGGTATGGGGGATACAGTCAGGCGTATGGGCAGCAGCCGCCTCCCTACGGCCAGCCGCCCCCTTACGGCCAGTACCCCCCTCCACAGCTAGGCCCGTATGGGGCACCGTACGGGCAGGAGCAGCAGCAGCAGCAGCAGCCGCCGGCTTATGGGCAGCAGCAGCCTTACAACCCGCAGCAGCAGCAGCAGCCGCCGCAGCAGCAGCAGCAGCCGCCGCAGCAGCAGCAGCAAACCCAGGGCCAGTATGCTCCCCCTCCTGCCGCTGCTCCTGCCTATCCATCTGCCGCGCCCAGCTATTCACCTGCACCGAGTTACCCCCCAACTACCGGTTACATGGGTTACCAGCCTCCCCCGTATGACCCATATTCAGCTGCTGCTGGTGCCACCACTCCTGCTGACTCTGCTGGTGGTGCTGGTGGTGCAAATGCTGGTGCTGGGGCTGGTGTTGCTGCTGCCCCTGCTGGGTCTGCTCCTACCCCTTCTCCTCCTGCACCCATGCCTCCCACTACCGCTCCTTCCTCCGCCGCTACTGCTCCTCCCCTCTCCTCGCCCTACAACCCCTACTCGCTTGCCCCTTCCTCTGCTCCCCCGGTCGCCTCTTCCTCTGCCGCTCCTCTCACCGCCTCTTCTGCGCCCCCCTCCTCCTACGACCCCTTCGCAGCTGCTGCGAGCATGGGGGGAGGAGCAGCGGGAGGCGCAGGGGGAGCGGGGGGAGCGGCGGGGGACAGTGCGTATGATCCCATTGCCGCAGCGATGGAGGTGGGGGGAGGGATGCCGGACTGGGTGACTGCTCCTGTGCCCGTGCCTGCTGCTGCTGCTCCTGGCGGAGGTAAGGTTGCTGCTTCTGCTGCTGCTGGAGGTGAGAATGGGTGCATATGACCCCATAGCTGCAGCGTATGTTTTTGGAGAATTCTAAAAAAACATACGCTGAACCCATAGCTGCAGCGCTGGAGGTGGGGGGAGGGATGCCGGACTGGGTGACTGCTCCTGTGCGTGTGCCTGCTGCTGCTGCTCCTGCTGGAGGTGAGATTTCTGCTTCTGCTTCTGCTGCTGCTCCTCTTGCTGCTCCTATCGTTGCTCCTCGTGTGGCTGCTCTTGTTACTCGTCCTTTTGCTGCTTGATTTCGTGTATCTGTTTTCTACACTGACGCAGCTTCTGCACCTGTCGTTGCTGCCACTACTGGTGGCGCTGCTGGTGGCGCTGCTGGTGGCGCTGCTGATGGCGCTGCTGGTGGCGCTGCTGGTGGTGCTGCAGGTGGTGCTGCTGCTGGTCCTTCCATCCACATCTGCCCTTTCACCCTCCACTGATCACCCCCACCCTATCACACACCCTTCTGTGCCTCCCCCTCTCCCCCCTCTCCCTGTCGTGCCCTGCTTGCCTCTGCAGCCCCGGCTCCTCTGCCATACTCGCCTGGCCTCCTGCCACGCCCTGCTCCTGCCTGGCAGCCACCCCCACCTCCCAACTACTAGCTGTGTGCCGTTTTGGGGGCTGGCTGAGGCAGCTAGTAGAGCAAGGGCCTGAGCGTGTGGCAGCTGCTGGCGCTGTTGCTGCCATCACATCACCATCGCTGCCTATTGCTTTTGCCTCTTGGCACTGCCACTTGGCACTGCCTCTTGGCACTGCCAGTCGGTGCTGTCGTTACAGCTGTGTGGCCGTTACGAGGGCAGTGAGCTTGCTTCATCGCTCCTCAACCACGCGTTTTCAGTGCTGGTGTGGTGGCTCTCGTCAGTGGCGATTGGGAGTGTTTTTTCCCGAGGCTGGTGGATATGGGATTTTGCATGCATTGCACCCATTCTCGGTGGTGTTCCAGACTGTTGGGAAAGTTGACCGTGTTGAAGCGATTTTGTGTTCTCGGTTTCTAGTTTGACTCAGATATGTCTTTGACCTGTTTCTCTTGCAAGTGAATGATCCATTTTACACTGACGTACATGTTATTTCGTTGAACTTCTGTAACAATGGATCTGAATTGCGACACGTCGCTTCGCGAAAACCCTCATACTCCCAAACCTCAAGGCCTGACCCCAGAACCAGCAGGGTCGTTGTGTCACACATCCAGTCCCGCAGACGCCCAGTAGAAAGGTTAGGTAAAGTCGAATCGCCTGGCATAAATTACTAATTACTTCGAGCGCAAAGCCGCAGCGGATCAGAAGCGGCAGCGGCTGCCGGGGCTGGCGTTTTTTTTCCGTGATTAGTAGAGGTTCATTGTGCGAGAATTATCGTCAGTTGTCGCAAGCACGTCTGGAGCGTACGACTTTCGAAGCTGTTTTCCCTACTGAAAATTAGGCGTGTGAAATATGTTAGGCGCCTAGAGTAGATTGAGATGGCTATTACCTCACGCCGTGCCTTATCATCCGCTGTCGCCGTGAAACCCGAACACACTTACGATTCTCGAGAATTCTTGGAGTACATCGTTGTATTAATCGCCTCAAAACCTTCACGCTCTTACGATTCTTGAGCATTCTTGGAGTACATCTTTGTTTTATTCGACGACGGAACAGCAACGTCAAGTCGTTGATATTTACAACTCCCCGTCGGCGCAAGCATGATGAAGCCTCTTTCCCCGTCTTCAGCTGCGCGAGGCGGAGGTGGAGGGGGGAGGGGCGGAAGCGCGAGGGGGCGAGGGGGAAGCGGAAGAGGGGGAGGTGGAAGGGGAAGGGGAGGCGGCGGAGTTCTGCGGTTAGGCGTGTTGGAGAAGTATGTTCCGCGCGCGGACGGGGGAGTGCGGAAGGGGTTCCGCGGGCGGAAGAGATACATGGCGCCGCAGCGGACGCATATTTCTGCCAATGAGCTCCGTGCGTTGCATTCCCCCGCCGCTCTTCCCTCCTTCCCGGCCCTCACCTCCGCTTCTTCCCCCTTCCCCCGCATCTCCTGTCCCCGTCCCCCACTTCCCTGTCCCCTTCCCCCGCATCCCCTGCCCCCTTCCCTCGCATCCGTCGCCCCCTTCCCCGCATCCCCTGCCCCTTTCCCCCGCATCCCCTGCCCCCTTCCCCCGCATCCCCTGCCCCTTTCCCCCGCATCCCCTGCCCCATTCCCCCGCTTCCCTTAGCCCCCCTCCCCCGCTTCCCCTACCCCCTTCCCCCGCTTCCCCTGCCCCCTTCCCCCGCACCCCCTTCCCTATTCTGCTGAAGGCACACGATCTGATGTACCTGAATTGCCGTTTCAAGTACTTGTTTGACTTCCACGAAGCGTTCAATGAGGTGTTGTGCCTCCTGTCCCTTTTAACCATTTGCGTTCCTTAGTGTGCCCAGACACTTCACCCGTAAACCTTGAACCCTGTACCCTATCCCCCCTTGTTGGCTGTTGAAAAGTCTCAACAAGCGCGCACAGACTTTCAACTCACCTTGTACCCTATCCACTCGCTCTTGTCGGCAGGGAAACGACGCAAGGTGCTTAACGATGCGAGAACGGTGCAGAAATACCGGAAGATGATTGGGCGGGAGAAGAAGGCGTCAGGGCCCGACCAGACGAACGGATTGGTGGGGGGTTATGGGAGGACGGAAGAGGAGGGAGAAGAGGGGGAAGGGGAAGAGGAGGAAGTGGAGGAGGAAGAGGAAGTAGAGGGGGAGGATGGGGAAGAGGAGAAAGAGGAAGAGGAGGAAGAGGAAGCGGGTCAGGATGACGTTTCTAGTGATGAAGAGGAGGAGGGGGGAGCAGGGCTAGAGGACCAAGATATTGGTGGCCTGGGAACGCGAAAGAATGGGGAGGAGGGCGCACAGGAGTGGGAGAGGGGCGGTGTGAGCAAGGGAAGAGGACGAAGCCGGGGACCGGGAGGCGGGAGAGGAGGGGTAGTGGGTGGAAATGTGAGGGGTGCTGAGGGTGGGAGAGGAGAAGGAGAGGGTGTGAGGCAGAGGCCGTTAAATCAGTTGGAAAGGATATGGAAGAAGCGAGAGGAGGAGGCTGCAAGGCAGGCGGCAGCGAGGGAAGCGAAGAGGAGAGAGGTGGAAGAGGGGAGGAGGAAGAGGGAGGAGGTGGAGAGGCGGAGGAGGGAGTTGAGAGGGCAGATGAGGAAGAGGACGAAGAGCGGGCAGGTGGTGATGAAAGTGAGGATGGAGCATCTGCTGGAGTCGATCCAACGCAGTCAGGGGAAATAGTTGGGGTACAATACAATCCGACTGCGCAAACAAAAACCTCGCATCACAAAAGGCGAGAAATGTTGGGTAGGTACCGTATCATGTCACGAGAGTATCAGAGAAATCAGAGGTGGCACGCTGATCTATTGCTGGGAAAAAACTTCGTCGCATGGGGCTTGCAATGTATTGAGGTTTTTTTTTTTACAAGCTATGTAACTATGTTGCTATATTTGTCAAAGTAACGAATGAGAATGAATGCATTGAAGAGAAGTTGGGTACAAGTGCTAACCCTAATTGGGTTGTACCCATTATGGGCTACCCTGCTGTCAAGAATGAAAGTGTTGGTTTCACTAAGGTTGGTTGGGATACATAAACCTAACCCTAACAGCTGTACCCCCTATCACACACATCACTAAGGGCATGTTCCTACGGCTTCTAGTCAGGCTGGGCCCTTGTCAGACTTGGTCATTCGAGCGATTTCGTTATTAACACCGTTTTTCAGTTTTCAAAACAAACGGTGCTGCATGATGAATTGGTCACGCGAAACCTATCACACGTGCTGTTTCGGCGAGCCAGGTCAGTTATTCGCGCAGACAAAAATTTTACAGCCACCAAGCGCACGTTTTGGTCGTTTGTGATTTGTCAGGACTCAGGAAACAATTGTACCTTTGCAACCTTTCGGAACGGGAGCGCTGCGTAGTGCCACGTCACCCCACTCATTGTGTCGCGCACTTCACCAAGCAACGGAAAGAAATAAATAAAAAGTAGGGTTAAGCCGAAATATTAGTGTTTGAGGCGAGTCTGACAAGAGGCCAGCCTGACTAGAGGCCGTAGAAACATGCTCTAAGACTACAACATTTGACACACCCCCATAGTCTAAGTGAGGGGTGTCAAGCAAACCCAAAAGTGTACAGTCACAAGACCAGTCACAAAGAAACAAAGCTCAGGGTGGATCACAACGTCACCACACACTCCGAGCACAAGCAAAAGAGCCACAAGGCTAGTTCAAGAGTTCAAAGAGGTTTATGTAAAGTGTATAAACTGTTGGAATTGGAAACAAGTAACTTAACGCTTCTGAAGTAATCGAAGTATCGACACGAAACGGAGCGGACTACAGCGAAACAACACGCGAGTCAACAACTGTAACAGCCGGAGGTTACGCGAAGGTCAAAGGTCGCTGACCTTTGACTCGACAAAAAATACAGTATGACAGCAAGGACACATAACTGACTCGATACCGAGCAATTACCCGAGTCGTCACTGTATCGAACCGCAACAGCAGAAAACAGTTAAAATAGAACCTCTTCATATTCCTTTGTAATCATATAAAAGCCTTGTATGTCTTTGCTATTATCAACTTATCTTGCTCTCACATACTAGCGCAGGGTAGTTCAAGTATCCTTATTATTACGCTTCCACAAACTACAACATCCTTACTTCAACAAGATCTTGGCCTTGAAAGATCCTAAGGGCTATTTTCTCAGCCCAACATGGTATCAGAGCAAACAAGGCAAGATCGATTTCAGAAACTCCTACGACAAAACAAGACATGGCAACACAGAAGGAGAGAAGCTCCTCCAACGGGTCTCTCGGCACTACTCCTACTCCACCTCCAGCCTCTGGCCTACAGACAGAGGAAGGCACAGTAACAAGACCAGCTGCGGAGTCAACCGAAACTCCCGGGAATCAAGCAGCGGGCTTCGACCCAAACATGATGGAGAAGTTCTTCTCCTTCATGTCCTTCTACGAGCAACACCAGCAAGCAGCTCCTGCGCAATCAAACAACAGTGACAACAACAACAGAGCTACTCCGATGAGCCTCGACGGTTCATCCTATGCGCGCGGAAATCAGCAGCAACCTACCTTTGCTCCGTACGAACCTCAACGTGGCTCCATCAGCTTTGCGCCACACCCACACTCTTCACCTGGACAAGAGAAGACATTGGACGCACTTCAAGTTCAATCACAATTCGCACATGTCTTAAAACTGCAGACATCAACAACTTTCGACGAAAAGGACTTCTATGCCTGGTCATTCGAATTCGAGCTGATGATGGAGGGTGCGCAAATACTTGGATTCTTCGATGGGTCCCTGCCATACCCAACGCATGGGACACAATATGACAAGTAGCAGTACACGTATCAGTCGCTGATGGCGTACACGATACTTCTTCGAAACATAACGCCAAACGAACAGCAGAACATTCGGTCCTATCGAGGATATGGCAACTCCGCCGAACTGGCGTACGACCACCTGAAGAACCTATATCAAGCAACAGACAGTGCTAACCAAAGTCGTCTCATGGCACAGCTGACAACAGTGGAAATGAAACCCGACGAAAAGGGAATGGCGTATATCAGCCGTTGTCGCGGACTGCGCGACAGACTCCTTCGATGCGGAGGATCAATATCCGAAGAAGCCTTCGTAACAGTCATCATTGCTGGCCTCGGTCCTCATTGGCGCTCCACTCGAGCACTCCTTCGAGCTCACGGGAAAATCTCCGAAGCATCGCTCTGCGCCGAAATTCACGCTGAATAGCAGGATATGGACCTGCATGAAGAACGACACAAGAAAAGGGTGTCAGCACCAGAATTCGCGTTTCACACTCAACGACGCAACAACAACAACAACAATCGACAAAACAACCGTCAGATTCAACAATACGTCCCACCGTTCTGTCACCTCTGCAAGACGTCTGGACATCCGCGTACACACTGTCCGAATCAGCAGCAGTCAACGTCTCCGCAACGTCAACTTCGACCCTCAAGCAGTCAAGTAACTTCAACGCAGGCGCGTCCCACCAATCAAGTACAGTCTTCAACGACATCAATGACAACATCTGCGCAATGCACAAGAAACATCGTAAGCTGTATGACAAGAACGACAGACTCCTGCATCACCGGATCACCACCGTTCTACTCACTAGAAGAACAACTCGACGAGCGCACTCCTCGTCGCAAATCATTGGAGCCTAACCCGACGTATGCAGCCATCGCCCAGAGCGAGCCGTCCGGAAAAGACACTTGGTTCTTGGACAGTTGCTGCGGACAACACATGTGCTCCTCAGGTTGCTTCGTTCAACAGGAACATCAACTTCAGCGCGAAGTCGTAATCACCGTCGCCAACAACCAGAACATGCACACACGACAAGGGATCGTGCAACTTCAGTCTCGAGAAACTAACGTTATTTTACAAATGTCAAAGGTTCTAATTGCAGAAGGACTCGGCTACAACTTACTTAGCGTCACTCAACTGATGGCGAAGGGCATTCATCTCGAAGCAGATAGCACCACTCAGGAGTTCAAGTTATTCCACGGAAAGGGCGGACTCTACATCGGCAAGGCAGCCTTGAAGAGTAACGTCTTCGTTCTTGATTTCGTTCCGGACCAAGGAACCGCCGATAGCGACGCCATCGTCAACTTCACTTCTTGGACACATCCACCCGATCTCGACCCCGACTTCAGTCCTGGAGGATTTTGGTATTCACATACCATATCTGAAGCAGAAAGGACAAGGGCATTAGCAACAATCCGGTAAGAAGAAACAACATCGATAGCAGTAGAGACAACATCAACAACAATAACAACACCTACGGCACCAGTCGCGAGTTCTTCGACGACACCAGCTCTCATCAACGACACTCCACCGACTCCTGCGCAACAGTTAACTCCCACTCCACGCGAAGTTCACAGAAGCACCAACCTCACCGCGGGATTTTACTCCAACTCTGATCTGTACAGGCACTCACCAGGACATCGTGCAAGCGAATCACTGTGGCACGAAAGATTGGGACATCCGAGCAACACAACGTTAAACAACACGATCAAGGCAGCAGTACTCGACAAAGATTCCTTACTTCTACCCGACGGCAGAGAACTTCAGCGAGTCCGAGGAACCTATTTTACTTGCCCCGAAGCCGACTTACCTCATCAACCATTTGTCTCTCACCACAATCCAAGCGCGCCAGCCTACGCACCACTCGAGAAAGTATACAGCGACATCCTGTATACTCGCGAACAAGGACAAGGAGCATTTAACAATGTGATTACTTTTGTGAGAATGATAGACGAAAAGAATGATTGAATTAGGAAATGAGGAGGGTACAAGTAGGAAACACATAAGTGTTGTACCCTCTAAGGACTACCCCACTACAGCCTAGACCGACTCTAGTAAATATATGTTTGACACACCCCCATAGACAAAGTGGGGGAGAACAAGGGGTCACAAGACCAGTCAAGAAAGACAAAGCAAACTCAGGGTGGATCACAAAGTCACCACACAGTCTGAGCACAAGCAAAGGGCCAGAAGGCCAGTTCACATGCAGAGTTATATAAAGGAAAGCAAAAAATACAGTGAACACAACCTAGCACGTGTAAGCATGCAGGTATAAGTATATAGAGTAACACAGTACAGAAACGCTGATGATCACAAGGCTGAAGTGCCTTGGTGAAGACATCAGCAGTGTTGGCCTGAGAGGCCACGTAAGCAAGACGAAGCTGGCCACGCTGCTGCAACTCTCGAGCAAGGAAGTAGCGCAGAGCAATGTGCTTCGTTCTGTGCTCCAGTCTGTGCTCCTGACACAAGGCCAGCATGGCCTTGTTGTCGACGTACAGAACTGGAGGAGAACGAGGCGCCTCTCCCAATTCGGTCAGCAGGTAGGTGAGCCAGCGAAGCTCCTGTGCAGCCATGGCCCCAGCGTAGATCTCAGCCTCACAACTGGAGCTGAGAACAGAAGAAGAGCGGGTAGACCGCCAGGAGACAGAACCGGAGCCAAGGCTGAAGGTGTAACCCTGTGACGACCGCTGCGTAGCCAAGTCATCAACCCAGGAGGCGTCAGCGTGACCAGTGAGGAAAACTCGAGCCCGTCCTCCAAGCACGAGCCCCATGCCCGATGTACTGCACAAGTATCGCAACACCCTCTTCGCAGCATCCCAGTGCACCTTTCGGTGCCTGCCGGGAGCCACGTAGCGAGCCAGAAGGCTTAGAGGGTATGCGAGGTCAGGTCGTGTGCAAGTCATCA